CATAAATGTTAACCGACAACAAACAGGAAACGAAAAAAGGTTCGAATTGCCAAAACTTTCGTATTTTCCTTACAAAATATGCTAGATTTCTTATATAATAGTTAAATTAGAAAAGCTCACATTATACCAGTTTCCTTTTTAATCTCCGTTTATGTTTTCATAACAATGTTAATTTCCAGTGTTAAGTCGATTAGCACTATCGTAAATGAATCGTGCAAATATTGGATTATCAGTGCCTCGTTAAAAGTTTCTTATGTACTGCGACTTCAAAATGTATGCCCGAATACAATATTTAACTAAAAGGTCAACGGCAATAATGATTTGTACAGAAAAAAAATTGTCTTTTATAAAAAATAATTCGATAAAATTTTAAGAATTTGTAAGAAAAGCTTTATATTTCAGAATAGAGTTGTAAAGAGTAACGGAATCAAAATAATAATGCATCATCAGCAAAGTGGTATAAACAATTTCAAAACCAGAAAGAAGAAAATATGGAAATGATAAGCCTTTAAATGTTATAATTGTGCATTAAAAAATCATGGATAAGGCCAAGATTAAAGAAAAACTTGGTTCCTTCGTCAAGGTTTCGATTAATATATCAAGATTTCTTCCTGTGGTCTGCAGGTGGTAAATTTTCAATTTGATTGTTACCAATCATTTTGGTGTACTCGCTGGGTTGGACTACAGACTTGTAGATGAACTGATCTACAATGATCACTTTTCTATCCTGTCGGTTCAGAAAATGATAACTCTTATTTATTTTCGATAGTATTAAAATCTGGAGAGGCAAGGAGTAATTTCGATGTTCTAAGTTTACGAAAAATTTAGTAGATTATTCAGAGATGTAAAAATTTTTAAAAATTTTCTCTTGATGTCTGCGAGGTGATGGAGCAATTCTGGCTTGCCTATTCTCGCCACTTTGGCCCGTCAAACGCGTTACGGCTTCTCGCCATCTTCAGTTGTCTTGGCTCGGCCTGTTTATACTCTGACAAAAAACTTTTTATGGCGAAAACGCCGAAACTAGTATGGCAGACCGAATTGGCAGGCAGTACGACTATAACTAATCGACAGTGATCACTTTACTGTCTGTCTGTCCTCACTAGTTTACGCCATCTTCAGTGTAGAACGGTACTTTTTTTTAAGAACAAGAAAATTAAAGACTTACCTAGTAAAATTACCTAGATGCTCTTATAAACCAACCAACAAACAACTTTTTATAACTAATCGACAATGATTACTTTACTGTCCATATGTACGCGCTGGTTTGCCATCTTCAGTGTGGAAGCTTTATTTTCGTGAAGTTTATAATTAGAAAATTTCCCATTAAAATTCATCAACCAGCAGACCAACCAAATCCATCAACTTTTCGTTTTTTAACTGATCGACAATGATCTCTTTACTGTCCAAGTTTGTCTTCACTGGTTTACGTCATCTTCAGTGAGGAACAGTTCTTTTTTTTCTTGAATAAGATAAGTAGTATACTTACTAGTATTACCAACCAAAATTCATTCACGTGTAACCAACGAACACCACTAACTTTTAAAACTTTTTTTAAACTGAGTGACAAAACTTTACTGCCCGTCTGTCCTCGCTGGTCTACGCCATCCTCAGAGAGGAACGCTAATTTTTTTTTTTTAATAAGAAAACTAGAATTACCCTCTAAAATTCATCTAAAGACCAACCATCACCTCTAACTTCTATCCTTGCTGCTTTTACACGTCTTCTTCAGCGAGGAACAATTTTTTCTCTGTATGAAGACCAAATGTAGAAACAAGTCTGACAGAGCAGACCAACGAGGATAGGCAGACTAAAACGGTAACGATCAAATTGAAAACTCATTATTTTTTAACAATGTAAATTATTAGTAATAATTTCAAAGGCCTGATGAACTAAATATATTCCTCGAAAGCTTGACAAAGGAACTCAGTGTCCTTTCCTTTCAAATTAACCCCATCCCTGATATTTTTAAATATAAAATTAATATTGTCCAACATTTCCAAATTATCACGATACAATATATAATTTTTTATACAGAATTATATACTTTAATTAATTATATTTACAATATATAATTAATTAAAAACTATGTAATTGTTCAAAAATGTCACTTTAAAAAAAAATTGTAGATTAGTTTTATATTTTTGTTGAGACTCTATACCAAAACATATTTTTATTTACTTTTTAGAATTGGATTGCTGTTTTAACAATGCAGTTAATTAAATTTTCACTTTGTCAAAGCCGTCGTAATTAAAATCATTAGCACTAAAAAAATTAGCGCACCGTGTTGTTTCGCATTTTATAAACAAAGTAAACGCCTCAGTCATGTTATTGTTGCATTATCAAGAGGTTTTTTTTCTGCTTAAATAAAGTATATAATTTTACCAATGAAATCACTTGCAGGCTTATTTATTATTGCCTTTCAGTAATTTTTTGAAAAAAGATTCAACTAACAAAAACTATCCAACAAAAACAAGTAGGATAAGAAGATCAAATTAATCTGAATCCAAATTCTGCCAATGGAGAAGATTGCCTAGTTTAATTATATAAGATTCATGAGAAGTAAAAACCTTGCTAAAGTGTAGTGTGGAATTAAATCCAATAAAAAAATTCTAATTGGATGACAATATAAAGTTTACAGCATAAATTTTCTCAACAGATAGATGCATTCAGATTGTGAAATTTTGCTCGTAAATGATTAAAATGCAAAGGATTGTTAATAATGATAATGAAAAACAGTTCTGATGTGTAAAATCTTTTTGGTTAAGAAAAAACGTTGTAACTTTCAAATCAAACTGTGCAAGCAATGTATGCTATAAATAAATTAATTCAGCGTATAAAAATGCAAAAGCCAATTCTACATCAAAGAACTGCGAATGAACAAGAATCCTGCATGTTTTGTTATGTTTTTAAGAAAAAAATAATGTGTCTAATATAAACTAATTCTATGCATAACTTCTATGCAAAAAAAGAAAATAGATCCTTAAGACTTCTTGTTACCTGATTTTTCTTCTTATGTTTGTTATATTGTTTATAATGTAATAAAGGGTAGAATTAGACAAAATAGAATAAGATGCAGAAGTGCAAAAGTCAAGGTTTAAAAAAAAAAAAAAAAAAAAAAAAAAACATCATGCACAGGTTTGTTCATTTTGTAAGTTTTTTTTTGTGATATTCAATTTTGATTTGATTTAATTGATTAAAATTTGATTAATTTGGATTGATATTATTTATATTTTCAATTAAATAATTTAATTTAAAAAAGTATAAACGATAATATCGATAAGATATAAATGAAAATAGTCAAAACGATCAATTTTATGTTTGCAATGCAAAATTTATCAAAACGGGAAATATTTTTGTGAAAATTAAATGCAATCTGTTTAAAATGTTCCTGTCACAAATAATTCATTAAGGAAGAAAATTTGAGAATAACATCATTGATAGATAAAGGAATAACAGACGAGAAAAACACCATTAGAAAAATTATTTTTCATTTGTATACCTGCTTCTGAACAAAAATATTTTGCCTTTTAAAAATTAATTTTAATGGTCAAATGAAAAAGCATCAACATTTCCGAGTATCAATCATAACAGTTTCATAACAACTCTAAATAGTATGAAGATATTGTACATTAAGATACAACATTTATATGAAAATACATTAAATGTTAAAATTGAGCATTTGTATTTATTTCACCATCATCTTAGGCAATGTGAAGTATTAATGGCAAACGATCATAAAAAGTCCAAAGAATAGCATGTGTTAGCATATCTTGTGATCCTTAAACAACACCCGCTGTTATTTGTAGCTATCATACAGTGAAAAGAAATCAACAGCTAATACTGGTCTTTCTACATTTTTTTGGACAAAGTAAACATAAATGACAGTTGAAACTTCTCTGACATATTAGAAAAAAATACTACATTTTGAAAAATCATTCAATCTGGAGCAAGATGGCTCAAAAATGGAGAACGGGCATAAAGGGGGTTTAACTATGAGCACTACCATTCACCGCAACAATCTTTCAAACCGAACTGCCGTACTATCAGATATCCAGGCAGCTCTAAAGGCTCTCCAAGCCTACGAGTTCAACCCAAAACTTGTCTGCAACTGTGTAAATACCCTTTAAAAAAAAAAGTCGTGAGGGGATTTCAGGGAACAAAGCAACAGGCATACTAGCTAAAAAGTGCCTTGGAGCAACAGGTTCAAATACATGTTGTGCCATAAACTGGAGCCACATTACAAAAGAACTGGAATTTTTGGTTGCTAAAGAGCACACACACACACACACACAAATAATAATAAAAAGACTACTCGCAAAAACAGCTCAACTAGAGGAAGAAGAAATTATATTAACAGAAAGGAATTAAATTCATTAACATGTATATTTATGGGAAATAACTCCAGTAATTTAGGACTGTAAACAGATGGCCAATGCTGATTATGTCTAAAAGAGAAAGTGATATCAAACAGAGATGCTATTACTCTGCAAAACCTAGGAAAAGGCTTTGGTACCTAGGCTAGCCTGTGGAATGTAGACTAGATGTCATATCCCTGAGAAGAATTTTTTTACTTCATTAAATAAATGAAATTCTTTTATTTGGCATTTCTTTCATTTTTGAAAAGTTTTAATTTTGGAAGAACGTAACTCATTCTGCTATTAGCACAGGGACTAAGCGTGAAGATGTATTTCTCATTTTTTCTTTCCTTAGCTAATTTTATGAGCTTATTTACAAATGGAATGTTTCAAAGCAAACCTGATACACAATTTCACACAACAAAATGGACAGACCTGAGGGATTTAAAACATGCTACACAATAAACGGCATTCAAGCGATGCACATAGATAATATATTCATAATAATATTCATATCATAAAAAAATAAATTGAAAATTGTAAATAAAGTTGACTTAATTGGTAAAATAATAAATTAAATGACAGCGTAAAACTAAGATTTATGATAACAAAGCTATTACTAAAAGTATATAGGAAGCTACTTACCGCATGATGCCTCCAGTAGTGAATGAGGTCGTGTATGTTTGAGTAAGGGGCATACAGAAGAAAATCTCTCCATTCATTAAAGCTAATTTCAAGACTGCCATCTGTGTCCATTCTGTAAAAAAAATTATATACTGAACCTTTTAAACTTAACTAAAAAGTAATTTTATATGTGTATTGAATATGTGTGAACTAAATGGAATTAGAATTACGAGACCTACTAGGAGGCCTCTGGCCTCTCCCTGATGGATCAGGGGGAGTCTCCCACCTTGGTGCCTGAGCGACTCCGAGGTTGGGATCTGGTCGGGCACCATCGACTTCTTTGGTCATTTCAGCGCCTATACGTTCCCTAAAACTAGTCATTCTCACACTCACTCATACAATAAATACATCCTCAGTCTAGAATCCGGGTTGGAGGGTACTCAATATTCCGCCCCGACCCGGCTTAGTGGAGCAGCGGTGGAGCCTTGAAATAATATGCTAAATGGACTTTTCAAAATTAAACTGGGAACATTTCAATTGAAAATTCTTTAAAATTATTTACCTACTCAACTTACTGATATTGAATAAATTGCATGAAAGTCAGCAAGCATTAATGTAACTAGATTATCTCTAATATCAATCAATTAAGGTTTTTAGTCGAGATAAAAAAGTCAATGGCACGAGCGGGATTCGAACCCACGATCTCGGCTAGATACGCCGCTGCTCTACCACTTGAGCTATCGTGACCTTGTGAATCCCGCTCGTGCCATTGACTTTTTTATCTCAACTAAAAACCTTAATTAATTGTGATATATTAATTGGTCAAGTGGACCACGAAATTAGTGAATTTAATTAATTAAATGAAGTATACTTCACTAAAGCTCTCCGTGGCCATTTCATTTGTCGCCGAGAATCCAATCCGATTACACATTTGAAAAATGGCAAAAAGGAGGGAAAATTCAAAAGGTGCGGTTGAGATAGGAAGTTAGTGTCTGAGCGGATCGAGGTCACGATTGCTCAAGTGGTAGAGCAGCGGTGTATCTAGCTGAAGATCGTGGGTTCGAATCCCGCTCGTGCCATTGACTTTTTTATCTCGACTAAAAACCTTAATTAATTGTAATATATTAATTGGTTAAGCGGACCACAGAATTAGTGAATGTAATATCAATTTTCACTGGTTTGCTTATCAGACATGCATTTCGCTTTCTTCAGTATTTAGTACGTGTGTTATTTTTGTCAGTCGAGTCATTTTTACAACAAGAGAAATAACAAATAATGAACTATTTAGTGTCTGGGTCTACAATACTACAGCTAAGGTCAGTATGTCTCAACTTGCGGACTAAACCTGACACTAAAATTGCAATAAAAAAACATTATTAAAAGAAAATGGCAGCGTCAGCGGGCTTTTTAGCTCTTTTGTGCCAAGAGTTGATAGGTGGCCCCCGGAGGACCTGACTTGTAGAAGAAGGGTCATCCTCACCTGTTAAGGATAGACCATGAGAGTTAGATACACGAACACTAATCTTGGGTAAAAACTCACATATGTGTCTGGCATGCAGAGAAAGGTTGTGTCCTACCAAATTGAAGAGTACTATTCTTTGGGTCCATACAGAGTGCTCAGGAATACTATCTGTTATGAGAATCATACTTGAGCATGGCAAGACATATGTATGTCCCTTGTTCTGATTCTTGGAGGAAACAGGATTATTTTATGGTTTATAGTTATGATAGTTTTGTATCTCTAGCATTTGATGAGAATGAATGTATTTATTGGCTTGAATGTGTAGTGTGCGAAGGCCTACGGCAGGATATTCAGTTCAATTAGATTAATTTTATAGATTAACAAGTGATTGAGAATATCAAGTACTTCACCACCCTGAGTGAATGTAAAAAATAAAGGATGTATTTAACAGAGGTTTGGGTTTGGGAACTGATTGCTTTGGGACTGAAATGACTTAGCTGATTATAGCCCCTGCAGCCCAACCTGGCTGGTTGGATAAAACCGAGTTCTGATCTCAGATTGCCAACAGGGGTGATTCTCAAGGCCTGGCGGTAATTTATTGTAAATTACACAAAAGCTGAACTTGCCGGTGAACTGCGTGAAGTGATAAGCTCAAAACTGTACACTCAGGAATGTATGTAAATGCGTGTGCAGATTTGAGCTTATATAAATCAGTAATCAGTATTCAGTCTAAAATATTATTAAGAGGTTCCTGTTTGATAAACATTTCTCAATGCAAAGTTTCTATTGAACTGCAGTAATTAAACTGTTATATTGGGATACTTTCATAAGGTCTTAGCGATGAAAAATTGTTGTACCTCATAATTGTTACTTGATTTTATTTTCTTCAGTTTTTAAATTTTAACTTAAAAAATGCTTATCTATCAATTAATTAAGGTTTTTAGTTGAGATAAATAAGTCAGTGTCATGAGCGGGATTCGAACCCACAACCTTCGGCTAGATACACCGCTACTCTATCACTTGAGCTATCATGTCTTCGATCCACTCGGACTCTAACCTCCCATCTCAACCCCCACCTTTTGAATTTTCCCTCCTTTTTGCGATTTTTCAAATTCAAAAGGTGGGGTTGAGATGGAAAGTAAGTGTCCAAGTGGATTGAAGTCACGATAGCTCAAGCGGTAGAGCAGCGGCGTATCTGCTGAAGGTCATGGGTTCGAATCCCGCTCGTGACACTGACTTTTTTATCTCAACTAAAAACCTTAATTAATTGAAAGATATTAATTGGTCAAGCGGACCACAAAAACTAGTAAATTTAATAATGATTATGTTTTAATTTCATCAGTGGGTAAAGTAAGGCTACAAATAGAATCTTTATATATAATTATGAACACCCACAGGTGTACATCTGATGATTTGTCATTCGCTATGATGTTAATTAAAATTTATAAAGAAATTAATCTTTTTATGTAAGGTATTGGTTGAAATGAAAAAGCCAGTGTCATGAGTGCGATTTGAACCCACGACCTTCGGCTCAATACACCGCTGCTCTACCACTTGAGCTATCGTGACTTTGATACCCTCGGAAACCAACTTCCCATCTCAACCTACCTTACGAATTTCCCTCCCTCCTTTTTGTCAGTTTGCAAATGTATTTATTCAGGATTCAATTCTCGGCGACATATGAATTGGCCATGGAGAGTTGTTAGTGAAGTTATACTTCGTTTTACTTATTAAATCCATTATATTTAGTTGTCTATTGACTAAATTACTTCTTTCAATTAATTAATCTTTTTATGTAAGGTTTTGGTTGAAATGAAAAAGTTAGTGTCATGAACGGGATCGAACCCACGACCTTCAGCTAAATACGCCGCTTTTCTACCACTTGAGCTATCGCGACTTTGATCCACTCAGACACCAACTCCCCATCTCAACTGAAAAATGGCTGTTGTAGATTGAGATGGGGAGTACCTGTCCGAGTGGATCGAAGTCACGATAGCTCAAATGGTAGAACAGCGTATTTAGCCGAAGGACATGGGTTTGAATCCCGCTCATGGCACTAACTTTTCATTTCAATCAAAATGTAACATAAAAAGATTGTTAATTATAGTTTATACTTCTCTGTCGTTTAATCTCTCAAGAATTTTACAATTGATCAGAAAACTTGCAAATTATTTGAACTCAAAATAATTCCTTGAGTTGTTAAACCCGATGACTGGTTACCTGCATTCTAAGCATCTGTTTTTTAATTTTAATTTTAAATTATAAATTAAATTGATTAATGATCATCCATAAACAGGTCGATTTGAGTTGAGCTAGCTTATTAATTTACTGTGTTTTGTATTTTCTTTTAAAAAAAACCTCACACATGGACCTATACAATTATTAAATAATTCAATCTTGCCCTGATGTCTGCACAAATACAGTCAAAAGTTTGACAAACAATTGTAAATTTGTTCAGCTGCACCCTCAAACTCCACTCTAACAGGGAACTCGCAATAGTTTTGTGATTGAGACTCAGCCAGATGTTGAAATATAGAATTGAATAATCTTTACTTTTCATGGATATATTTGGCTATATATAATAAGGTATTCGCATGAATCTATTTCTGAGCAGTAGTCACACATATTTGAATTAGTGGTATTTATTCTGAATAAATACTCATGGAAAATAGCACGGTTGAGCATTGGACAGATTTATACTCCTTGTTAACATTCCAAAAATTGTGAACAAATAGGTCTTTTTTTGTCAATATTTGTATATCATAGTTTGTAAGCAGAGTAAGCTTAATTTTGAAGGTATATCTGATTTTCTTGTAGTTCCAAAGATAATTGTTAGTGCTATGTCAATTGTGAATTTTAAAATACCCAACGGGTGGGTTGGACATTAAGCCATTCTATAGAACATGAATTACTTTCATTTACATAATACATCTTTTGCCTAACAAACTTTGATCTGGGATAATTCCATTCCATTCAAGGAGAAAAGGTTTTTCATCTAAAAAGTTCACCTATTATAAAATATTACAACATTTTATCTACAGTAATCACATTCAAAAAAATAGTTCTATAAATTAATATTCTGCAATTCAAACAACTGTTCAGAGTAATTGAAAACGATATAAATTAATAAGAGATTGCTGATTAACCAAAACAATCAGATAAAGAGGAGTTATCTTTTTACTTGTTTTCTTATGGAAAGATTAGTATTGGTGCTACCTCAAATGGAAGAAGACGAAAATTTAAAATGAGTTCACATTGAATATCGGGTAAATCATTTACACTAAAAAATTTAAAATCCGCCCAAATTATTTTTTTTTTTATTTAATTTTGATTTCCAGTTGGCAAACTAGCATGCATTAATATTTGATTTCACAACCTTGAATATTAAGTTTCTTTTTACTGATTTCAAAAGCGGTACTGACCTTTCAAGTAACTTCTTCGCTTCTTTTACTTCGACCTCAACGCCCAATTCCTGGAACGCTTTTATTAGTTCTTCTAAATCTATTTTACCTAAAAATTATACATTTTTAATTAGGATGGAGAAAATTTTAATCATTGTTTCAAAGATTTGGCCAAATTACTTACCATCCCTATTCTTATCAATATGAGAAAATCCCAGACGAAGGTTTTTTTCGTGTTCTTTGACATAGTGAATGAACTCTGCCAAAGAAATATCACTGCTTTTATTAACATCTGCACGTTCCAAAAATGACTAAAACAAAACAATTTTTGAGAACATACATTTTGATGTATTATTTTGTACTGTAAATTTTATCTTTAATGACAAAACTATGACTAATTATTATTTGGAGATCGTGAGATGCGGTCTGGTATGACGTAAGTTTTAGAAAAGCAGGCCCTGAAGATGATCTCAACAAAGATTGAAACGTTGACACGTTAATGAAAATGTTTTTCTAAAACCTACGTCACACCATACCGCATCTCACGATCTCCAAATAATCGTTAACGGTCACTAAACACCACACATTATGAGTATATAACAAACAAAAGCTTAAAAATAAAAATAGTTGTACAATTGTGTTTCTTCTGAAAATTTACAAAGTTTAAAAACTCTGATAAGGATTGTGATTTATGCTGAATTTATTTTTTTTAACTAGGCAGATAAGAAGTTTATTTTTATAAAAGTTGACATTCTTTATAAAACAAAGTGACCAGCCTAACTTTTTTAAATCACACTTCTAACTGTGATAAGATTGTTTTGCTTCATTGAAAAAAAAAAAAATTATTCACCTATTTGTAATATATAAAACTAGGTACATAAAATAAGTGATGTAAAGAAAAATATAGACATGAAAATAAAGTACTGATAGTTTGAACTAATTGGGACTGAGCCCTGTTTGAATTCATAAAAATTATTAGCCAAATAACTGCACTAATAATGCAGAAAAAAGCCTTGTTTATTAAGGAATTGTATGTATAGACAGACATACCAGATCAACAACAGGTGAACATTTTTTTAAAAATAAGCTGGAAGTTTTGAAAAACCGGACTTGGGTGAGAATATTGGTACTCTCGTTTTGAACTGCCTATCCTGTTTTGTACTGCTGCATGCTTTTCAGCCGTACCCGTCTTGTGTTTAAAAAAAAAGTTTAAACCCATCACTCAAGATGGGGACAAGCCGAAAAGCGTCTAACAGGTCAAAACGTTACGAAAGACCAAACTGCAGGTTCATCACCTCGCAAGAGTTTGGAATGGGCAAAGCCACAATATTTGACCATTAATACATTTCAAATTTAAGTAGAAAATACAAAAAACTATATTTTACCAAGTGAAAAATTTGGTTCGGATTAGCAGGGCTCTTCTTTATGCTTATTAATTAAGAGAAATACATATCTGCAGCTTGGTCATTTCCGAATTATGATCTACCTACCCTCAATGTTTTAAACTTTTTTTTTAGTTTTTGCCCCTAGGGGTTGTGGTTTGTGTATAAAAAATGTAACAAAAACAAAAGCAACGAATAGCCAAAGCCTAAACAAATCTGACAGGGTGAAAATCATCTGAAACCTCTAAGCTACCGAACCCAAGAAAAAATTTCACAAAGATAAAAATCATTTACTTATACAAAAAATTATGGGGTTTTAGAAAATGTATAACCCTAGTGAGATACTGTAGTGGCCGAATTAGGGCATCCCTCTGAGTTTATCACAGGCCTTGTGGTTGTGGGTCCTTGGAATTCCCAACTCCACAAGTTCTATTTTAACAACTGATCAGTACCTTGGCTAAGATAGAAAACATAAAGGCATTTTGTTTAAAAAGATATTTGTATTATTTAGTAGCTGTGAGAGATGAGGCATGGTTGATGAGTCCTACCAGAAGTGGCCTGGAAAAACTATGGAATATTATTTATATTTATTTCATTTGTGCTGTTAAAAGTTAGCGAAAAACCAAAAGAGGAACATTTTTGGACAGTTTTTTTAGTTAAGTTTTGGCTTTTTTTCATCTTCAGTGGTCCATCACTCCGCAGACTTCAAGAAGAAATCTCAAAAAGAAATATATTGTTCATATAAAAAAACATAATTTTGCGAGAATAAGGTTTAAATCAACCACTTACAGGAAAAGTTATGGAATTCAACCGGTCGAAAATCACCTCAAATATTACAGGATTTTTAAAAAACATATTTACCTTGTATTGAGTATTAATTATGAGAGATCATTTATTCCATTTGAGCTGAGAAGAAGAACAAGAAGAAGAGAGAAAAAATCAAAAGAGAACTTTTTCTTTGTGCAAATGAATTGTAATTTTAACCCTGTTGATGAACTAACAAATTTTAAAAATCCACTTATAACAGGAGATTCTACAGCCCTTTTTGATCACTGTATAAATTAAAATTTGAGTTGCTTATTGGATTCTATATAATTTGGTGTAAAATTCTAGTTTAGACCTGAAGGTGTAAAAATAAACAAAATATATATTTGTAGCATCATTGTTTTTGATCATTTTTTCTTCGTCTACCTTAGCTGTTTCAGTCGTTAAATGAGTTGGGCGTTTTGCAATCTTCAGTGGTTCAGCAACCCACAGGCACAAGAAGAAGTATCTCAAAGAAATATATGCATTAAAAAAAAAAATCAGTTCTGGAGAATCTACACAGAGGATAACTATTTGTATTATTTAAAGTGGAAAAAAGAATAGAACATTTTTTTTTAGACTAATGTGTAACATAAACCAAACACAACATGCCAAAAATCATCCAAAATGTCCAAGCTACAGGGTTTAGATATTAAAAAAAATATTTACATTATATCATCTATTAACCATGAGAGATCATATTTATTACGTTTGAGCGTTGAGAAGTTTGTGAAAAAACAAAACAAGAACTTTTTTACACATAACGGGATTGTAATTTCAACCCTGTGGATTAATTTACTAAATGAAAAAGGTGAAGGTAAAGTAATTCCTGCCATAAGAAGAGCTTAATGACTAACTGCCCAAAGAGGATCGTGAACAAAGAGTCAAACCACTTGAACCATATTACTTTCTCCATATTATTTGTAATTAAAATTCCATGAGCGTGTCAGGATGCGAATCCAGGACAACTAGCGAGGTGGAAAAATGTGAAGGTGTTAATAAAATATATATTTGTAGATTGGTTGTTTCATATCATTTTTTCTCCGTCTACACTAGCTGTTTTGATCTGATGAGTATCAGTTTTTTGCCATTTCATTACTCACAAAATGTTCAGTTTTACTTGAAGTGAGTAGTATATAATTTGGTGTAAAATTTTAATTTACACTTGAAGGTGATAATAAAATAAATATTTGTAGCTTGGTTGTTCTTATCATTTTTTCTCCTGCCTAAAAGTACAGGTTTGCCAAGTCAAATAACGGCTTTTTGCCATCTTTTGTTTCACCATTTCACAGACTTCAAGAAGAAATCTCATAAAGAAATTCACTGCTTGTAACAAAACTTAATTGTGTAGAACAAGGCTTAAAACAACCACTTCTGCCAAAAATTATGAAGTTCCATAAAACTATTATTTTACCTGAATAGAGAAACTATTTTTATTATTTATACTGTATTAATATGTGGTGTTTAGTGACCGTTAGTTAATGAATTTTTAGAGATTGTGAGATGCGGTCTGGTGTGATGTAGGTTTAGAAGAACATTTCCTTTATTGTGCCAACGTTTCGATCTTTATTGAGATCATCTTCTGGGCCTGGGATTGAATTTATCAATACAAATGAGATGAATTTATACAATAAAAATTTTTATATTATGTACATAATTGTACAATTTCATTTTCACATCTTACATATAATCTTACGTATAATTTAAACAATGTTTATAAATCCCAGGCTCAGAAGATGATCTCAATACAGATCGAAACGGCACGATAAAGAAAATGTTTTTCTAAACCTACGTCACACCATACCGCATCTCACCAACTCCAATATATTGTAAAAGATGATTTTTATTGTATTTAAAGTAGAAAAAACCAAAAGAGTTTAAAAATAATGTGTAACATAAACAAAACAATAGGCCAAAAATAATCTGAAACTTCCAAGCTACAGGGTTTAGACATTAAAAAAAATATATTTGCATCATATTATATCTATTAACTATGAGACATATTTATTACATTTGAGCAATGATAAAGAAACTGTTTTTCTAAACCTACGTCACACCATACCACAGCTCACCAATTCCAATATATTGTAAAAGATTATTTTTATTGTATTTAAAGTAGAAAAAACCAAAAGAGAATTGTTTAAAAGTAATGTGTAACATAAACAAAAGAATAGGCCAAAAATAATCTGAAACTTCCAAGATACAGGGTTTAGACATTAAAAAAAATATATTTGCATCATATTATCTATTAACTATGAGACATATTTATTACATTTGAGCATTGATTAGTAGGAAAAAAAAAAGGTGGAGGTATTAATAAAATAAAGAAATTAATATTTGTAGCTTGGTTGTCCTTATCAATTTATTTATTTTTTTTATTATTTTTGTTTTGTGTTTGTTTGCCTACCCTTGTTGTTTTGGTACGTCAGACGAGTATCAGTTTTTTTGCCATTTCATCACTCACAAATGATTGTGTTCACTTTTATTTGAAGCGAGCAGTATATTATTTAGTGTAAAATTTTTATTTAACTTGAAGGCGGTAATAAAATAAAGAAATTTATATTTGTAGCTTGGTTGTTTCTTATCATTTTTTTTTTGTCAGTCTAAAAATATAGGTCTGTCAAGAAGAGAATCAGCTTCTTGCCATCTTCAGTGGTTCATCAACCCACAGGCCTCAAGAAGAAATCTCTCAAAGTAATATAGCGCAGAGGATAACTATTTGTATTATAAAAGAGCACTTTCAATTCTATTTAAAGTGGAAAAACGGAAAGAATATTTTTTTTAGACTAACGTGTCACATAATCCAAACAATAGGCCAAAAAATCATCTAAAACGTCCAAGCTACAGTGTTTAGACTTAAAAAAGAAGATATTTACATTATATTATCTATTAACTATGAGATTATATTTATTGCATTTGAACAATGAGTAGTTAGAGAAGAAAGGTTGGAAAAAGGTGAAGGTATTAATAAATAAAGAAATAATTTTGTAGTTCGGTTGTCAGTATCGGCTTTTTGCCATCTTCAGCGGTTCACCACTCACAAAATTATCGTGTTCGGTTTTATTTGAAGCGGTGAGTCCGGTGAAAAACCAAAAGGGAATCTTCCCAGGCCTTTTTTTTTTTCTTTTCATCTAAATGTATTGTAATTTCAACCCTGCTGTTGAATAAATGGTTCTCAATTGGTAAAATCCATACTTGATCAAACTGGATGAATAAGAATTTTTGACGCTGTTGAAACGCTCCTACTTTTGGAATATTTTCATATTAAATCGTAAAATGTCAAAGTTGGTGCATTTTTTCTACTTTAAAATGCATTTTTTTATTATTTTTTTTTTTATTAGCAAATTAACCTAACACATGTGAGGTTTTAGGTGAGGACATTTGCCATAGTGAGATGGGATCTACTTTTGAAAGATATTTGAGAAATATTGCCATATATACTAGACTTTTTTGTAAACAAAAATAAACAAAAAAACTAAAGTGGGTTGTAAAGGTCGTCTGCAGGCAAAAGTCCCCAAGGCCTGACGAGAAATAATTTTTTTTTATATTTGTGGTAACCGGTCCGGAGCAAAATGAGGATTCCTTTCCTGAGAGATGCGTAAAAAGCTGATAAATAGTTTTGTGTCGTTAATGGGACAGAAATAGACGTTGGACCATTATCGACTCGGGGGTTTTCGTTGTACAGCGAACATATTTCACAGGTTTACGCAGGTTTTAAAATTTTAAAAATCCCTCCTGGATCGGTTCGACGTTTATATTTATGAGTCGTAGAGAAATCCGTATGAGAAATTAGTTGAAATGAGATACCTGGGCATATTTGTGATCGACACCGAACTCCCGGAGTGCGACGGAGAGGTCGTGTATGTCGATCTTGCCGTTGCCATCGAGGTCGAGGGAGTTGAAAAGTTTTTCGAGCCGTTTTTCATCTTCGTAGGGCAGCTCGTGGAAGTAGTGAGGTAGGTGGCCGGTCACCGGGTCCGTCGAAATGGAAACGTGGGCATTTACCATTTCAAAGGTCTCTGGCCGATCACGATTATCGCATAGTCCCGGACGACGGGTCTGGATCGGGGGCCGAATTGAAATGAGGAGGCGGCCTCGGCGGTTCCTCCGGGCACGGGCTCTCTGCGACCGTCCGGCTGGTTCTTCTTTGACAGCGGAGGACTGTCTGCGATAGAGATTGCGATTTGACAGCGGACAGCCTAGCGAAGGCTATAGCTCAGATTCCGCCATAATTGATCTTGCCGCAAGAGCGACACCGGTGCGATCTGTACTCGACAACCGTCACTATGCTAACGCGTTGTTTGTCGCGGTGGTTCACAGGTCGCACTGCGTCCACAATGGTCCACTTTGCTCATCAGTCATCACTTTCGATCATTTTTCATCCCAAATCATCATACAATTATTATCCATAATTTTCCTATACCACAATAAATAGCGAGACCACCTAGAAATCTGCAGAGAATGACCTTCTATTTTTGATGCTTTAGGGGTAGGCATAGGGATAAAAGAGGTGGCCACAAGCCTCCTGCACCTCGACCTGTGCCTGAAACTTGGTTGTTTCTGATAATTTTGGTCTTCTTAACCCACCAGTTATTTTTAGAACATACATTGAATTGTTAGATTATTTCTCTAGTTCTAGGTGGTGATAAACTTCTATATATTTTTTAAATAAGGGTTCGCCATAGGAGAGATATCAATTCTCAGTTCATCGTTGTTTTTAAAAAAGCTTAATTTGTTAAGCTCAGGACCTTTACATTACTGGTGATCACGGTGTCATGCAATCTAAATCGTTCCAGCCACTGACACCCTTCCTGTTCTTGATATTATAGTAGCAAGGTTCCCTTGTGGAATATGTTGGGTGCTGGACCTACAGCTTGGTCATTATTGATCAGTTTGGTCTATATGACCACTCTGCAGCTTGATCATTATTGATCGTTTTGGTCTATATGACCACTCTGCAGCTTGATCATTATTGATCGTTTTGGTTTATATGACCAGTCTAAAAAACAAAAAAGCGTTTTCCCCTTGATACCCGCAGGGTAATGAACCTGCAACTTGTCATCTTGGTCTATATGACCACTCTGCAGCTTGATCATTATTGATCGTTTTGGTTTATATGACCAGTCTAAAAAACAAAAAAGCGTTTTCCCCTTGATACCCGCAGGGTAATGAACCTGCAACTTGTCATCTTGGTCTATATGACCACTCTGCAGCTTGATCATTATTGATCGTTTTGGTTTATATGACCAGTCTAAAAAACAAAAAAGCGTTTTCCCCTTGATACCCGCAGGGTAATGAACCTGCAACTTGTCATCTTGGTCTATATGACCACTCTGCAGCTTGGTCATTATTGATCATTTTGGTCTATATGATCACTCTGCAGTTTAGTCATATTGATCATTTTGGTCTATACGACCACTCTACAGCTTGGTCATTATTGATCGTTTTGGTCTATATGACCACTCTGCAGCTTGGTCATTATTGATCATTTTGGTCTATATGACCACTCTACAGCTTGGTCATTATTGATCATTTTGGTCTATATGTCGTCTAAAAAACACAAAAGCGTTTTCGCCTTGATACCCACAGGGTAATGAACCTGCAGCCTCGTCATTTTTGTCTATAAGACCACTCTTTAAAAAACAAAAAGCGTTTTCCCCTTGATACCCGCAGGGTAATGAACCTGCAACTTGTCATCTTGGTCTATATGACCACTCTGCAGCTTGATCATTATTGATCGTTTTGGTTTATATGACCAGTCTAAAAAACAAAAAAGCGTTTTCCCCTTGATGTCTGCAGCATGATGAACCTGTACCTCGGTCGTTTTTGATCATTTTGGTCTGTCAAAACAACCCCAAACATTTTTAAGAGCATACATAATGTGAGATTTCTTTTTATGCTCTGAGGTTAATGAACTTTTAGCTTGGTCATTTTTGATCAGGCTGTCTACTCTAAACAAGTCATACATAGAGCAAGATTCCTTCTTGAGGTCCGCAGGGTGAAAAAAAATGCAGCTTGGTCATTTCACATCATCTTGGTCTGCCTAACCCACCTGTCATTTTTGATCATTTTGTTATGTCATGTTATAAAATTACATATTTTGGCCTTGCGTCATCTTCAGTGAGGAACAGACCCAGTGCCATCCTTGAATATCTGGTAAAATGAAGATTTGTTCACCATTAACTATCAATTGTTCGTAGGCAGCTTATTTTGCAAAATTTTTGAATATGGCTGAAATCGATATGAAAATTAATCGATAAAATATGTTTATTGGTAAATGGTGTTATTAAAAAAAAAAGACCACAAATATACTTGAAAACCAGCCTTTCAAGTAACAGTAAATCTCTCCAATAACAAATCAATCTCACAAAAAACAATTTGATAATTTCATTACTTCATATTACAAAATTACATCATTTATCTGCCAACATTGTCAGAGAAATTTATTGAAAGGGAAAAGGGCTTAAAAAAAAATATAAAAAAAATAAACTATCTCAATCTGATAAGCACAATAACAGTTTATCAGTCCATTTTTGAAAGTGTTAAAATAATAACCATTGACAAACAATGTTTCCTTTCATACAATAAAATAAGTTTTTTTTTAAATTATCTTATTTTTACTTTCCCCTATTCACCAATATTACATAAGTGATTAATATAATCATAATTATTACATGTGCAACATGATAATAGATTCGACTAAACTATTCTATCAACTACTTCTATTTTCATATTAACTTCATTATGTTAATTAAAAAGAAATTTCGGCAATTCTGTTTTGTAACATCAAATCGTGCATTTTAAACAAAGAAATGTTTACTTCAACTTTCCATAAAGATTCGTTATAGATACATCAATAAGTGATATTCAGCTTATTTAAATGAAATTTTAAAAAAAATTAAGTATCTCGTAACATAATTCTATCCGTTTTATAAATTACACAATCCTAAAAAAATTTTAAAAACAATTTTTGCAGTCGTCTTGAACTTATGTTTAACACTTACACACAAAACAAAAGAAAAAAAAAATACAACCAAACGGTTTTTAAACGCACATAACATTTAGCATTTTAAAAACCGACAATATGAAGTTATCAATATTTTTGTCATTCAGAAAAAAAATTTCATTTTAGGGAAGTTACAAAGTCGAATTCTTACCTCATTGCACAGTTCAAACCTTTTATCTTCTATTCATAACAAAATAAAAGTACAACAAAAAAGAGAGAGAAAAAAAAACTTCAACATAAAATAAGTCGTTACTCACAAAAACGGAGCCTATGATTTTAGCAACACAAGTCCAAATAAAAGAACTTAACTAACAGAACATGTCTAACATGCAATGATAAAAATCTGTCCAATTTACATAATTCAGTTCAAGAGTTGTGCCTTCACAGAAAACACAAACGTCTCTCAATATTCTCTTTCTATTTTTCAAGATATATAAAATACCTTACAACTTTAACCGTACAGACGCCCTTACCTCCTAGACTTTAAAAACAATATCACTCTTTTTTTCACTGATATATATATGTATATATATATAATTACATAACAATAATTGCGTACAATTTCATCCCTCCCTTCAATCTATAAGGGGATTTCATTTATGATTTCTAATATTATATGCATTTTATGAAGAGAGGCAATGAACCTAATAAAATACACTAAGCTACATTGATCACTACACAAAGATTTTAAATAGTTGTATAAAATAGAAGTGAAAATAGGTTTTCCTTTTTTTTCTTCTCAATTTTTCTTTACAGGCACTATAATAAAATTAATTTAATAAATTAAAAATCCATTTAAACACAAACAATAATAATACATAAAACGAAGGCGAAAATTTTATTCGATTTTTTGTTTTAATTTTGTAAATTCGCAAAACGCTACTGAATAAAAATCTAAATAGATTTAAAAATTTTAAAGAGATGCGAGATAAATTGGCACTTTTTTTTTTAAATTAATTTTTCTTATTTTCCTGAGGTGAAAAGAATAAAGTGCCTTCGGATTTTGTCGTTCTATTTGATTGTGATTTCAGTCATATATTGCTTAAGGTTTTCCAAGGGTACACACAAAATATCTTTATACGCTAAAGATAAAACTAACAGATATTATGTATCAAATACAATACATATGATAAAAAAATATAGTATACTACAATTAAGGTAAACTCTATCTGTAAAAGTAGCTAAGTTGCATGTTTATCATTTACACCATAGATATACTTACTCTCAAAATATATATTCACGTTTCTTTCCTTTTAAGTCACTATCATAAACAAAACAAAAAATTTTAAAAAAATAAGCAAGCAACAACGAAAACCAAAATATTTTTGACAACACAACCAATTTTTATCACACAAGTTTCTTGCATAAATCGGTATAAGTTTAATTATTATTTAAAACAATAATAACTATTTAAAAAAAAAAAAAATGCGTAAGGGAAGAAAAAGACGTTGAACACTTCAAAAGTGAAGTCACATTATATAAAATTATTTGAAAATCAACAAGACTAGGTTAATAAGCACAAAACGACTAGAGAGAGAAAAAAAAAATTAAACACTTTGTTTTTCATTGTTGCCTTCTTAAATATAAAAACAAATAAATAGCCAAATTTAACTGTCATATAGTAAAAAGTGTTTGCAAAAATCACAAAAATCACTCTTATTCCACAGTTATCACTGAATGTTTCTCCAAATGGTGGTATTAAAATGTTTATGAAGTTGATTAGATGCATTTTTAAACGTTACAAATATCAAGGGGTTGACACAAATTTTCCACAGTATTCAACTTCAAAGGGTTATTTGAAATTTTAAGGGTTTTATAACATTAAAAGGTCCTACAACTATGACAATGTTAAATAAAGTCCCTTTACGCCAGATGCTGGTTATTTCTTGTTCCAATCGACTGTAGCTATGGTAAAATTTCCAACGTTGATGTAAATTCATACTCTAAAGCGGTATTAATAGTTTAGCTATGGCACTTACGGCTAATTCATAAAATATTTGATATTAATTTGGAAAATATAAATATGAAGTTATTTCTTTGACGATTCTTCTTCGCTGGACCACCTTTTCTCTTGTTCCTCCAATTCGTATTCCCATCTTAATTCCAACTCCCTTATATCGTTAGCGATACCTGCTTCGTATGAATCTTCTTGGGTTAAAAACTAAAATAAATAAAAAGTTTGTCGTGTTTAGAACCAATCTTATATCACCGATGTATTGTCCAATTTACCTCTTCGTTTCTGCATCCACTCCAAGGCTCCCCATTCAAAGCCTGTGTGGTTCCGCTTCCGATTTGATTCTAATAAAAAACAAACAAGTTAAAAGTATGTACATAATTTTCAATTTATCAATTAAATAATTGTTAAAAAATAATATAAAGTTATTCGGAAATCGTGAGATGCGGTCTGGTGTGATGAAGGTTTTAGAAAAACACTTTCTTTATCGTGCCAACGTTTAGATCTTTATTGAGATCATATTCAGGGCTCAAAGTGTTTGTTTTTTGTTGAGAGTGCCCATGACACACAGGAATGGTACAATTACGCAGAAAACAAACACTTTGAGCCCTGAATCTGAGAATCTAATCTGAATACACGACATTTGAAAATGGCAAAATTCGAAGGGTTGTAGGTTGAGATGGAGAGTTGGTGTAGGAGAGGATGGAAGTCACGATAGCTCAAGTGGTAGAGTACCGGCGTATTTCATCGAAGATCGTGGGTTTGAATCCCGCTCGTGACACTGACTTTTTTATCTCAAGACCATAGAAAGTATATATAATTTTTTTTATATGTACATATATATTATAGACGCAGCACCATAAAGGAGTAGGTGAACTTCCCAAAGTATAGACCCAAGAAGCCCCTTCAGGTTTAAAGTCCACAAGTCCTTAGAATACAATGAAGAAAGTCAGCTATTAAGCTCAAAAGCTTATTTAACAAGCATTCATTTTCTTAGAAAAAGTGGAATGTTTAGTTTGCTCCATTCTTCTGAATATACCACCCTCTCGATTCTTTCGTTCAGGAACAACTTAAATTTTTATTAACCAGAATACGCACACTATTTAGTTATTTATTTAGAAATCGTGAGATGCGGTCTGGTGTGATGTAGGTTTCAGAAAAACATTTTCTTTATCGTGCCAACGTTTCGATCTTTATTGAGATCATCTTCAGGGCCTGGGATTTATAAACATTGTTTAAATTATACAAATACATGTAGGATGTGAAAAAATGAATTTATACAATGCTATAAATTTTCACATCCTACATGTATTTGTATAATTTAAACAATGTTTATACATCCCAGGTCCTGAAGATGATCTCAATAAAGATCGAAACGTTGGCACGATAAAGAAAATGTTTTTCTGAAACCTACTTCACACCAGACCGCATCTCACGATTTCTGAATAATCATCGACTAACGATCATTAATCACCACACTATAATATAAAGAATAAATACTTACTGGTCTGAGTTGTTTTTCTTTTTCCCTTATCCCTTGTTCGATCAATTGAAGTTCTTGGCTGAGTTTTTTCCCTTCAGTAAATGCAGCAAGTTCAGTTGCCAACTTAAAGTGCAAATAAAATAAAATTAATACAATTAAATTTAAAAAAAAAGCTATATTAAAAATACCTCTAAATCGTTGATTTTCTTTTCCAGGGTTCTCAGCTGCTGTTTCATTTTTTGAGATTCAGCCAGAAAGCTGAAAATTTCAATTATTATCTTTCTTTCTTAATGTATTAATAAATTTTTGAACTTACTCTTTGGACTGAGATACGTCTTGTTTTAGAACCTGTGGCTGGTGAACAATGTGTGAGGAATCAATGACTCCAGGAGGGACTGCGATAAAACCTTCTCTTCCAGGTTGCATAACGTGAGTCGGATATCCTCCTGAAAGTCATTTCAAACTCGTCAATTTTAACACTCTTAGGAAAAGGTTTAAGGCTAATTTACCATGAGTAGTGTTGAAAACCCATGTATAAGGGGTCCTGGAGTCGGGGAAGTTTGTCGAGTTAGCAAATTTGGTACCGTCGCGGGAAATCGGGCCAAATTTACTGACGACTGGAGGGTCAAAAGGTATGAATTCCTCGTCGGCGAGAAGGGAATCGGATCTGTAAGAGATTCGCGGTTAATAAATTTTCAATACGAAGAATTTAACCTAAACCTACCGGTATAGAATTGGGCGTCGAGGAGGTAAGTTCACTTGCGAGTCCATGACCGAATGGTGTTTATTTCCTGTGCTCCAAACAGAATAATTCGGCGTCACTTGATTATCCTGCAAATTACGCAAATTTTTTATTTAACAAGAAAGAAAATAATCTTTAAATTTTCATAACTAAATTTAACTATTTAAATTCAATTTTATAAAATTCTCTCATTTGAATTATTTTTCTTAGATTACTTACAAGATAAAAAAAAAATTATAATACAAAAACAATAGTAAGTTAAGTTTACATTTCTTATTGGGTTGTTGTTACACTGAGCTACAACTCTTTCCAACTTGTTGAGAAGTTCTTGCTTACGATGATGGAGCACTGCCAAACTAGACGCCACTCTCTGCAATTAAATTTATTTTTATAATTTCATCTGATTCATTTATGTCCATCCATTATAAAACCTTGGAATTGTGGACCTGTGCCCTCCAGACTTGTTTTGGGTGTACTCTGTTCAGTTCCTGGGCAGGTACGACCTGAACTGTCGAGTAATCGGGATAAGGGGGTTGGGCCAAGATTACATTATGGGTCGGTGATCTGATATAAGAGAGAGAAAAAAAAATAGTAAAACATATTTTTAAAGTTTTCAAATTAATATTTAATACCCGTAAATTTCTTGAGGATAAGGTGTCGGAGCCGTTGTCGCTTGGTAAGGTAAGTGATTAGCATTGTATGCAGTATTGTTTGTAACTACAGGATAAGGATTGTAATCACTAGTTCCTTAAAAAAACAAAAAGCACAAATTAATAGCTACTATAACAATAAAACCACAAACTTCTGGGGCTATTGTAAATTTATTGTATTTAATCAGAAAAATATATGCTGTACACTGAAAAATTTGTTTTTGTAAATTAGTAATAATTAATACCTTCATTGCAAAAAACAATGTCTTCGTGTTGAGGCAACTCTTCTTCTTTTACAACCGAGCTCCGACTCGGCTTTCGATTTTTGGCTCTAAATCTGTTTAAAAGAACAATAAATTGCAAATGGTTACAATTGAAAACAGATTAATTTAACAAAATGTATTTATTATATGAGAATAATTAGAAGAAAAAATGATAGCAAATGTTTATTGTAGTAGTTTTATTTTTCTTGTTTATTGAATTTTTATCAGATGCGCTTCTAGTGGTATTGCTGGGAGTATCCACTTTTTATATTTTATTTTTTCCAGGGGTGTTTGCCTGGGGATTCCTCCATGCAGACTGAATATTTGGGAATATTGGTGTTTCTAAAGAAGGTGGGAACCATCAAAATCTTTGTTTTTTTTGTTATTTTATTTGACAACCTGAGGTAATACAAGAGTTTAGCAAGTTAACAAAACGAAGATAAAGTATGAAAAATGCACAAAAGAAAAATAAATTTTCATAATTTTTTTTCCATTCAACAATCATTCATTGACAATTCCGACAATCCTTGGCACACATAAGGTGGTGTTTCAAAAACATCACCAGCCATTGTCCAACTTTGCTGTTGCTAACCCTGGTTTAAAAAAAAAAAAAAAAAAAAAAAAAAATCGTCTACGCGTAAATGCAACTATGAAAAATTTAGTCGTATGATGAAAGCTGTTTGTACATTGGTAGTGGTTCTTTTGTTTTAGTTGGCATGAATTTGGAATGATTTTTTTTTTAAATTTTTAGGTCACTATAATATTAAAAAAGTTTTGGCTGAAGTATTAGAGAAAGAAGGACCTATAAAATTTTAATGGAGTAGAATGAGAAAAATGTATGGGGAGGGTAAACTCAACGTTTTAATTAAAAAAATTTAACCTCTCACTATTTTCTCAGTTTAAACTTTAAGAAACCATGTCATTTTGAAATTGAAAAAATTAATGTTTGTTCTGCAAAAGTAACCTAATACGAAATTTGCAAACAATTGCTCTCCGTACTTACTTTAATCCACAAATTAGCTACTTTATGTTTTCAGTTCAAATTAAAACTTTTTGCGAGAGATTTTTTATAAGGATTGTTTTTTTTACATAGTATTAAACAGCTATTTAGGACAATTGAATAAAAAATAATTTGCTAAAAACAGATTACAATTCGCGAAGTTTTGGAAGTTTTTTATCGTAAGATTTTAGGAGGCAATGAGAGAAGCAGGAATTGGAAAATTATATGTTGGTGGTGCTGAATAAATTGAGATTTTTTTGCTTATTTAATAACGAGTCAAAAAGTAGATGCACCGATGCTTTGGGAATAATTTAAAAACCAATTAAGTGAACTCTAATGAAACAATTGCACTGTCTGTCATTCGAGATATGATTGAAAATAAAAGAATGACCATAAAACAATACAGCCTTTCCTGACCAGTTGACTGGAAAATCTTGAAAGAAATTGCAGTCGACGAAGACCATTTTATGATCATAAAATGATTTACGAACAAATCCATGCAAAAATGAATGCGGATCAGTCAAATGTTTTTGATACCATTAAATTGGCCTTAACTGGAAAAATGAGTAAATCTCAAAATATGTTCTTAGTCTACGGATCTGGAAGTAGTGGTAAGGCATTTTTTTACACAAATGCCTGATATATTTCTGCACATATTTGTGCAAATGAAACACCACCTTATAACAGTTATTAATTTCAGACTCCTTCGCCCCTCGACCCTCCTCGGGAGATAACTCGAACTTATCTTGAGTGAGAGGAGAAAAATTTTACCTTCTTCTTGAGCAAATGGGTCTGATCTGTCTGATTTTTATTTAAGGTGGTGAGACAATTTTTTTAAAAATGTGTATTTGTTTCCTTTAATTGTTCTTAGTGAAGATTTCTTTATTGTTTTCTATTTAGTTCAATTGAGTTTGTACGTGCCAAACCATTATTTTAATCATTTTTCCTTTTTAATAAAAATAATTAACAATACAAGTTTGTAAATCCCAGGCCCTGAAGATGATCTCAATAAAGGTTGAAACGTTGGCACGATAAAGAAAATGTTTTTCTGAAACCTAAGTCAGACCAGACCGCATCTCATGATCTCCAATAATCATTAACTAACGGTCACTAATCACCATACACTTTTTTAATAAACTCGAGTCCAAGAGTCATTTTTTTTTTTTTTTTTTTATATTGAAAATTAATTGGGGTAAACAATCCTGTCACAAGGGGAATTACTTACGATAATCTTATGTGGGCAAAAGATTGTCGTATTGTTAGCATAGTGGAAGATTGTTTTTGGGAGGTTAGTGAGGTTCAGAAATGTTCCTTGGGGGACTCCAGCTTGGAATTTTTTTTTGTAACAAACTTTACTCTTTTCAGGAAGGAGATTGATAGGACAGTAGGATGAAGAAAAATCGACAAATTTGGTCTGTTTATGGGGAAGAATAACAATTAAAAATATCCAAAAGCCAAGGACATACATTGTCTGCAGGACCAATCCTTTTTAAAAAGATGGTTCCTACTCACATTAAGACGTTTCACAACAATCCAGATTTCGAGCCCTTTAGCTCATCGTCAGGTTGAAGGGTTTCCACAAAAAAGTCTCTCGACATGAATTGCAGAAGTGAACCCGCTGATACCCCCGCCAACTATATTTCTAGATACCCGTTGTTTTTTGCTATGCTTTTAATAGTATTATAGTATTCCTCCAACTAATTAATTCTCTACACCGTAATATAAATTTTACATTGGAAATTAACAAAGATGCTTGTTTGAACTTTTTAGACCTAAAATTGTCCATAATAAACAACCTAATAGAAATAGATGTTATAGAAAACCCACAACTACAGACACTATGATCCCAGCGGATTCTTCCCACCCATGGTCTCAAAAGGCTGCTGGTTTCATTTGGCTCATAGACCATATGTTAAAACTTCCATTAACTCCTGCTAACTATAAAAAAGAATTAGATACTATTAAAACCATAGCAAAAAACAACGGGTATCTAGAAATATTTATTGATGGTTACTAGTTAAAAGAATAAAAAAATTAACTTTACAAGAATCAACAATAGGACTCAGCCACCCCACCATAAATGAATCATTAGGTTTCTGTTGTTTGCCATACATTGTGAATTATCGGAAAAAGTTAGTAAAATGTTTAAACAAGGTTTTAGAATAGCTTATAGAAGTACGGGGTCACTAAAAAACATCCTTTCAAAACCTAAAGACAAGGTAGACAACATGACTAAAAAGCGGGGTTTACCAACTCAATTGTAATGACTGTAATATTAAATATATAGGTCAAAGCGGTAAAGAAATAAAAACAAGAGTAAAAGAACATTTGCCTAAATCGAACAAATTTTCGGAATTCAAGGACCATTTAAAAGAAACAAAACATAATTTCAATTCAAATTAAATACAAGAGTGTTACATAGTTTCAACAAAGGGAGAGAACTAGATTGGTTTGAGAAATTTGGAATTAAAAAATTTAAAATTGAATATGGTGATAAATGCATTAATAATATAACAGATTTTGATCTACCTCCCATTTTAAATAAGTATATAAATAATATTAAACGTCCAAATAATTAAACTAATTATTCTAATTGTTATTATGTTTTATAATAATTTAATAATATTAAGGTATTATTCTAATTATTTTATTTTTTAAAATTTTTTATCTTTAATCACTAATTTACTATTAATTTCTTACAGTATTTACTATTACAATTGTTATTTGTGTTATAATTTCTGCGTTTCGCATATCCAAATTGAGCGCAATTAAAAAAAAAAATCAGCTGCTAATGGGAACGTCGCGTTGGCGGAGGTATCAGCGGGTTCACTTTGGCAATTCATATTGAGAGACTTGTTTGTGGAAACCCTTCAACCTGACGATGAGCTAAAGGGCTCAAAATCCGGATTGTTGCGAAACAACTTAATGTGAGTAGGAACCATCTTTTTTTAAAAAGGATTGAACTCCACACTCACTCCATCATTTATAATTTCTATTGTCTACAGGATGGTTAAATTTATATATGTATGCTCCTTAACAATATTGACAAAAAAGTAACTTTTTTTAAATATTTTATTAAGATTATTAACTTACTTTTCCAATTCATCTCCAGAATGTGCAAACGTGCATGTTGGGCCTCTGGGACAAGTGCCCCTGATGATCAAATCTCTACAAAGGCTGACCTTATACTTTGTATGTTCGTTCTGGGATGGGCTGCCACTCGTAATACCGCCTTTGTTCGCCCCATGAACTCTCATAAACTCGACCAGGCCTGCCACTACAATTCGGCAAGCTTCTAGCCCTTGGGCCAGCTCTTTCATGCTGTACGATATGATTTCTAGAACAAACAAACACATAAATAATGGTCAAGTTTTTGGGTCGAGTAAAAAAAAATTAGTCAAAACCTGGAGTGGGGTCTATCCCTGCCAAAAGTTCCAGGTGAGGCCTGAGGCTTGACAAGTTGCCGGGGTCAGATGTCCTCTGCAGGGCGATAACCAGCTCTTGGACGCTCTGGGCAAAGGACTGAGGGCTTTGAAGTTTATCCATTATTGATTGCATGTGACTTTTGTGGGCTGTGTCACCGTACAAAAGAGCTGACCACTGATCAGGAGCAATTCTCAGACCCGCTTCAGTCGCAATCTGAGCAATTTGGGCATCATGCTCCCTTCTCAGAGCTTCATAACCTCGAAACTCCTCTTTAAGTTGCATCAATGATGAATCCCCTTCACGTTTTGAAACCTACAATTTTATTTAGGAATATATTAAAAAAATAACAAAAATAAATGTTAGAATTTTCACATTCTAATTCTTCAGGTCGAGGTAAAATATTTAAAATACAAATTATTTATGGATTTTCTGACTTACTTTGAAGCAAGATGCACGGTATAATAGTTGAACAACATGGCCAATACTAGTTTTTGATGCCTGTGGAAAATGAGGTTCTAGCCGTTGAACTACAAACATTACCAAAACTTTTCTTGAAAGTGCCGTGCCATCCTCTAAAGCTAAAAGTACCAGCTTCAACAATTCTTCTTGCATAGCTGGAAAAGAATTACAAATGTGATAGTCCATGTTAACTTTAGAGAGTCTACAAACTCACCAGGGCCAAGAAATTGGCAACCGCGAGCTCTCACCGCCGCCCAAAGATTCGCCGACAAGTGTTGAGGATTTTGATGGTGTAAGATTAACTCTGTTACCGTCCTGTCGCCTAAAGAACGAGCCGCTCGCATCGCTCTCGAACGTCCTTCTTCCTCTGCTAATTGGCAATTTACCAACATAACAAGCTTTCTCTGCATTGATCTCGATACAACACCACCCGACACGCCACATCCTAAAATAAAGCCGAACATTTTACTTAAGTATATACAAAAAAAAATAACTTGAGATCTACCTGAAGTGATTGGTTTAAGGTACAGAGCCAATTCCTCGACAGCCCTTTTGGCCTTAAAGTACGCTTCTAATTCATCAGGCGGTAGAGAGGAAAGACACGGTGGAGTAGTTTCATCTTCTTGGTTGTTTCCATTCCCCACTAACTGCAACAGTGCTCCATTGACAGGCAGTCCACCCACTTCTGTCTTGATGGCAGCCTTGAGAAAAAAAAGAAAAAAATAATAATAAAAAACGAGCAGAATCAAATTTACACTGAGGCTGCGAAAATACTACCTGATCGAATGGGCACTGTTTTTTATGGAGATTGGCTAGGCATGTTTTGCAGACGGTGTGTGCACATGCTAGACTAATGGGAGTCCTCTGGCTCCCATCGAATTCATTACAGCACACAGGACAGGTAAGAAACTCAGTCCACTGTGGAGCCTGTATTGGCATTCTGGAAATAAATCAAAACAGGCCTAAGATTTTACAATAAATTATTAAAAACTTATGTTTGCAATGCGATCAACCAGCCTTCAATGCGATGTTGATTAGGATTCGGGTTGTGGTCTTCTTCTGGTGAAGACCACAACCGGAATCCTAATCAACATCGTATTAAAAACTTACTTTAAAAAAAGTATGCACAACTGATTATTAAATTTCACGTCCACACTCTTAATATTAATACATGACAATTAATTAAGGTTTTTTTAGTTGAGATGAAAAAAAGTTAATGGCACGAGAGGGATTCGAACCCACGACCTTCGGCTAGATACGCCGCTGCTCTACCACCTGAGCTATCGTGACCTCGATCCACTCGGACATCAAAAAAATGGCCATTCCAATTGTGGTCGAGAATCAAAACCGATTACACGACATTTGAAAAATGGCAAAAGGAGGGAAAACTCAAGGTGGGGTTGAGTTGATGTCCGAGTGGATCGAGGTCACGATAGCTCAAGTAGTAGAGCAGCGGCGTATCTAGCCGAAGGTCGTGGGTTCGAATACCTCTCGCGCCATTAACTTTTTTTCATCTCAACTAAAAAAACCTTAATTAATTGTCATGTATTAATTTGTCAAGTGGACCACGAAAGTAGTGACTTAACATTAATGTCGCAAAACAACTATAAAATACCCAAAACTAACTGGACAGAAACCTCAAATTGTAAACAATATAATAAAATGAGACAGATTATAACGAAGTACGGACTTTTTTAAATTTTTTTATTATCAAGCGTCTGTCAAAATAATTCTATGAAGTATTTCCAAATCTGGGGCCAAATTGTATCATTAATTTGGTATAAGCATTATTATTGATTTTTGTCTTCTTTACTACCCCTGGTTTTCTAAAAGCAAAGAAAATGTGGCAAAATCAATATAAACAAAATTCAATTGAACAGTAAAGACAAAAGAAACAATAAAAATGTAGCCGTATTTTTTTGTTGAGCCACCATATATCCGTAATTTGGTTGTTACCGATCTTTTGGTCTGTCACACTTCACAAAAATCACCCAGACCCAATACTGAAGATGGTGAAAAGCCTAAAGTTGTCTGACAGACTAACATGGCGAGGGTAGGCAGACTAAAATGATCGTTAAAGATCAAATTACAATAAAGTTGCATATTCTTCTTTTGCGACTGTGCATCATAATATATAAAATGTTAGGCAAGTACATAAAACGAATTGAATTGTAACAACAAAATACAACCAAGCCCAAACATTTGTTACTTTTTTATTAAAACTGTCTATTGGTATGAAGCATCATGATAGATGATATTTAGTATTTTTTTGCGACGACTTCGACAAATTTTGAAATTGGATTTTCCCTATGGCGGAGTTCCATTTTTTGAGAATCGTCTCGCCCTGACAAAAGGATTTGAGGTGCGATGTGGGGCCGGTGGCGGTGTGGAGGAAAGAGGGAATATACAGGATAAACAAACTCCTCAGCCGACGTAGTGAGGCGTTTTCGAAAAATATGCCAATCAGAGGTCCAGTTAATAAGTGGTAACAACTGTCCAACAAGAAGAAATTTTGTGGCCATCTTGGGACGGCAAACCTGCAATCCTGGAAATTCAAGTCTACACGAGGTGCCTTTTGAGAGACGTATTTTTAACCTTGATTTTTGTCAAAGCCAGTTAATTTCAAAATTATAATTTTTGGCCGAAATTAAAAATTTTGTTTTAAAAAATAAATACATTTTTTTTTGCTTAAAGGAGTACATTTTTAATTTCATTTCTAATTTCGCTATTACGTTTTATTTTATTATACATTTCCTTTTCTTTAGCTCGATTTGATAAAGTTTGAAAAATGTGAAGGCAGATTTTTAGTGGATAGTCTTCTCTATACATTTCAAAAAAAAAAAAAAAAAATCAATCGTATAATTGAAACTGACCATCACATATTTTACCCCTTGGTATGCAAACAAACAATAAAATGAAAAATATAAATGAATTGCACAACAAAAAATTGTCAATTCTTTTTGATGTCTGAACTTGGTCTTTTCTAAGAATTTTGATTTCCTCGTTAATTTGGTAAAATAAATATAGTTTAATTGAATAGTAACAGCAATAATAGAAAAAGAGTCATAAAGCAAACATCAAGCAAGGTAAGATATAGAAAAATTGGAGTTTAAAGAAAGAAAAATATCATGGAAAAATAAATATAATTGAATTGAAATACAACAAAATCGCTTTTACTTGTTTAAAGGTACTACATGTATTTATACTTTAGAAAACAATATTGGAAAAGTTATTTCAAGTTTCTTTTATCCCTTAGGAGTTTAAAAATACAGAAAAACATCATGGTAAAATAAATATAAGTTACATTCGAAGAGCAAAGAACAACAAAACTGCGTATATTTGTGAGCCACTGTAAGATAGGGGTCATAAAGTGAATATCACTTGAGTAAAAGTCACTTTTTCCTCCTACGAGAATTGTAGCAGAATAAATATAAACAGTTGCTTGTATTTTTTTAAGCAATTGTACTGCTCTATCTACAACGAGGAAAAATAATATGAACGGCATACAAGATGATATAAAGCAAAACAAATATATTTATTCCAACAAAACACTGCCTTTTTTGAGTACTATATATGAGCGAACTACGAGTCAGAAAGGGAATAACACACATGATATTGAGCAAAAGATAGATAAAACAATCAGCTAAGAAGCCCTTTTGATAGGTCATTGACGTGCAGAAGAGGAGTCGTCAGCAAATAGGCCATACCAGGTTGACACATTATTATTGGGACAAAGCCTGCATTTATCCGTAGAGAAAGGTTGCCCAATATGCCCAATTTTATTAAAGGGTGCAATTTTGTGCTTCATATAGAGAATGTGTAAAAGCGTTACACGATGAGAATTTTCATTAGAATCTAGGATCCCTGTTCTGAATTTAGAGGAAACATGGCTGCTTTACTGTATAAAACCTTCAATTTTCAATTTTTTTTAAAATGAAATCCCAACAACATGCCTACTTATATTTTTTTAAATCTAAATCAGCGTATAACAGGAGTCATAAAAGGCATATTATTATATTATATATTATTTATATACAAGGTAAAGGTGGATAATAGAGGGAACTGACTTTTATTAAGTTTTTCAGCGGGAAACAATTAAGTATAATTTGACATCAATGTGTGTTGTAGAACACTTATGGAAAATAAAATTAAGGGAAAAGATATTAAAATCTTTTCTGACAGTCAGGCTAGTCTTAGGGCATTACAAAAAGTTTTGTCAACCTCACGACTGGTGGAGGAAATTATAGATCTTATCAATAGGATCTCTTTCAGGTTTGAGAATAAGGTGACCCTTATTGGGAACCAGCACATAAAGGACACCAGGGCAATGAAAAGGCGGATGGCCTAGCCAAAGAAGGTTCTAATACTGCGTTTGTTGGGCCACAACCGGTATTACCTCACTCTATGAGGAGAGCAAAAGAGAGTGTTAATAACTGGGGCATGAAACAATTCCTTAGGGAGTGGAATTTATCCCCCGAACACAGGCAATCGAAAGAGTTTGTTACGGCGATCAAACCAGCAGAATCGAAATGGCTATTCTCTATCTGAAGGAAGGGAATTAGGGGCTGATAGGTATTCTGACGGGCCATTGCCCACTGAGAAGACACCTCTTCATAATGGGTATCCTATCAGATCCCTTTCGCCGCTTCTGCGAAATAAAAGAAGAAACGGCAAGGCACTATCTCGCAGAGTGTGATAGGTATGCTAGGTCTAGATTTGAAATCTTTGAAGGAGAGGACATCACCAAATCACTCCCCGAGATAAAATGGTCCAAAATCTTGGGGCTTGTGAACAAGTCCAAGAGGTTAATGCAGTGAACCGACCAAGTCCCAGACCTTTTAGGGATGGGGTACGAGTCTACCCAGGTATTTACCCCTCGGGTCTTGGTCGCTCACCCTGCATAATAATATATAATTTGACAGAACACTTCCACTTTTTTAGCCACTGTATATCTGTAAATGACACTCTGGATCAAGGTATGGTCTTGAAGAAGAAAGCAAATTCAGTATATAAACACAAAATAGCAAAATCTCACTGGCACTCTCGACACGACGCAAGAATGGCACAAGTACACAGAAGACAAACACTTTGAGTGAGTAGAAATTCTTTGAGTGAATATATAAAAAATATATTTTGCATTGTATAAATTCACTTTTCCACATCCAAAATGTAATTGTTATATGTAAACAATGTTTGTAAATCCCAGGCCCTGAAGATGATCTCAATAAAGATCGAAATGTTGGCACGAAAAAGAAAATGTTTTTCTGAAACCAACATCACACCAGACCGCATCTCACTATTTCTAAATTTAAAAAAAAAATTTTTTAAAAAAGAAAAGCAAATTCAGTTGTTGCTGCCAAGTTTTCAACCTATTTTAAGGTCATCACCAGGGGAAAAAACCTTAAATATGTCTATAGATCGACATATTTAAGTTTATTACAAGCAATCTCGAATTTCCTTGAAGATCGACTCAGTCCAAACATTGCCAAGGACATTACAGTTTTGCCCTGATGATGACCTGATGAGTGTACATAAGTGAAAATAAGGTCGATATTTCCAATAATTGTATATAACAAGAGTTACAAGTGAATATTATACAATAAGGCTAGATCTAGCAGAGTTGGGGTTTTTCTGAAAGAAAAGTGACAACAAAAAGTATAATTTGACTGAATACATCTACGTTTTTAGCCACTGTATATCTGTATATGATAAGATCAATAAAGTGAATATCACATGACAAGATGAAATATAGCAAGTCATTTTACTCCTTGGGAGCGTTTCAAAAAGAAATTTTTTTTTTGGCAGGGGGGCAAAATTGAGCAGCTATAATATTTAAATTAATATCAAAGCAATATAATTTTGAATTATAACAACACAACAAATAAATTGGTTTCACATTTTTATCCACTGTATGCCTGTACATGATGCCCTTGGAAGTTTTACAAAAAGAAAGGTTTTTGGCAAAATTGAGCAGATATAATCAATAAATTAATATCGAAGCAATGTAATTTTGAATTATAACCACCCAAAAACAAAATGGTCTTCACATTTTTAGCCACTGCATGTGTATGATGCAAGTCATAAAGTGTATATCGTATAAATAAATGATACATAGATCAAATTATTTTACTCCTTGGGAATTTTCAAAAACAAAGTTTTTTTAGGCAAAATTGAGCAACATATAATTAATATTTGAATCAATATCAAAGCAATATAATTGAATTGAATTATAGCCAATTTTAGCCGCTGTATGTCTGTATGATGCAAGTCATAAAGCGTAGATCGTATAACTTAGCAGTTCCCAAACTTTTTCTGTTTCCAACGCCCTTAATATATCGGAATTTTTCTGTGGCGTCCCAAGTCATAACAAAGGTCAATCTCAGTGTGAACTTTATGATAATAGTAGTAATTAATTCCAACCCAGAAAAGCATTGATACATCAAAACCCCTTATTTAGTCTATAATTTTATTTATTTAGAAATCGTGAGGTACGGTCTGGTGTGATGTAGGTTTCAGAAAAACATTTTCTTTATTGTGCTGCTTTTTCCGAAACCTACATCACACCAGACCGCATCTCACAATTTCTAAATAAATATCAATTAACGGTCACTAATCACCACACATTTCTGTAATTTTATTTAATAAATAATCAAAAGTAAAAACTTTTGATTTTGTTGTCAAATTGAAAAACTTTCCTTTTGAAAAGTGATTATGCACCTAATAGCTAAAATATAAAAGCAATTTTTTTTTTTGCAATAATACAAAATACACAATTGCAGCTGTCTTGTTAACCAACCATATTGAGAGTTTTTCTTTTATAAATATAAAAATAATAATAAAAAAATTTATTTTCTGGCAAAAACTGAGCAGATGAAATTAATATTTGAATTGAATTCTAAAACCACAAAAACAAAATGGAAATTTTTTTATCAATTGTATATCTGTGTATGTTGGAAGTCATAAAATGATATTGTATAACTAGATGATACATAGATCGTGTTTTTCCACACAGAAAAGTTTTTTGGCGGAAAATTGAGAAGATGTAATTAATATTGGAATTAATTTCCAAGTAATAAACACAACAAAATGGCATTTACATTTTTGAACCATTGTATATTTGTGTATGATGCATGTCATAAAATGTATATTGTATACATTATGAGACACAGATCAAGTTATTTTACCCCTGGGAGTTTTTCAAAAAACAGAAAGTTTTTCTTGGACAAAATGGAGCAGATTAATATTTAAATTGAACTGCAAGAACAAAATGGCATTTACATTTTTGAACCATCGTATGCTTGTGTATAATGCAAGTCATAAAACGTATATCGTACAACTAAATGATATAGACATAAAGTCATTTTATGCCTAGGGAGTTTTTCAAGTAAGTTTCTTTTTGGGCAAAATGAAGCTGATTAATATTTGAACTGAATTGTAACAACACAACAAGAAAATGGCGTTTATGTTTTTGAACCATTGTATATTTGTGTATGATGCAAGTCATAAAATGTATATTGTATAAATAATGATACATAGATTGTCATTTTCTCCCTTGGGTGATTTTCAAATAAGTTTCTTTTTGGGCTAAATGGAGCAGATTAATATTTGAACTGAATTGTAACATCAAAATGGCGTTTTCATTGTAGAACCATTGTATGTTTACGTATAACACAAGTCATAAATTGTATAAATAATGATAAATAGATCGAGTTAATTTACCCCTGTAAGTTTTTCATAAAAGAAAGTTTCTTTTCGAGCAAAATGGAGCTGATTAATATTTGAACTGAATTGTAACAACAAAACGGCTTTTCATTTTTGAACCATTGTATATTTACGTATGACACAAGTCATAAAATGTATATCGTATAACTAAATGATATAGACATAAAGTCATTTTATGCCTAAGGCGTTTTTCAAGTAAGTTTCTTTTTGGGCAAAATGGAGCTGATTAATATTTGAACTGAATTGTAACAACAATATGGCGTTTTCATTTTTTAACCATTGTATATTTACGTATGACCCGTCATAAAATGTATATCATATAACTAAATGATATAGACATAAAGTCATTTTATGCCTAGGGAGTTTTTCAAGTAAGTTTCTTTTTGGGCAAAATGGAGCTGATTAATATTTGAACTTAATTGTAACAACACAACAAGAAAATGGCGTTTATGTTTTTGAACCATTGTATATCTGTGTATGATGCAAGTCATAAAATGTATATTGTATAAATAATGATACATAGATTGTCATTTTCCCCCTTGGGTGATTTTCAAATAAGTAAGTTTCTTTTTCAGCAAAACGGAGCAGATTAATATTTTAATTGAATTGTAACAACAAAATGGCGTTTTCATTTTTTAACCATTGTATATTTACGTATGACCCAAGTCATAAAATGTACAAATAATGGTACATAGATCAAGTTAATTTACTCCTGGGAGTTTTTCATAAAAGAAAGTATCTTTTTCAGCAAAACGGAGCAGATTAATATTTTAATTGAATTGTAACAAAATGGCATTTTCATTTTTAAACCATTGTATATTTACGTATGACACAAGTCATAAAATGTATAAATAATGATAAATAGATCAAGTTAATTTACACCTGGGAGTTTTTCATAAAAGAAAGTTTCTTTTTCAGCAAAACGGAGCAGATTAATATTTTAATTGAATTGTAACAACAAAATGGCGTTTTCATTTTTGAACCATTATATATTTACGTATGACACAAGTCATAAAATGTATATCATATAACTAAATGATATAAACATAAAGTCATTTTATGCCTAGGGAGTTTTTCAAGTGTTTCTTTTTGGGCAAAATGGAGCAGATTAATATTTGAACTGAATTGTAACAACACAACAAGAAAATGGCGTTTATGTGTTTGAACCATTGTATACCTGTGTATGATGTAAGTCATACAGTGTATATCACAAAACTAAATTATGTATATCAAGTTATTTTACCCCTTGGTAAGTATAAAAACTATATAATCTAATAATAAAATAATTATTATTAATGTAAATATTAAATGTTAGTTACAATGAAAATTAGAAACTTAGTTCAGGAACAAGGATAAAGGGACGATTGGTGGGTTTAGATTTTGGAGACGGGGAAGAGAAAGTGAGGCAACTGTCAGGGCTTTCAGAGAAGAAACCCATTAAAATAGACAAAACTGTGTTTATTGATTTTAGTTTTGTTATGATTAGGAGTTGTCACTCCAAACGGGCTCGAAAGTGGTGTCGATCCGACGGAAAACTCCGGATCGCACACCGAGGTGGTGAATGTTGTGTAAATAGACGGCAATCTGTCAAACACACGAGACGGTTTGAATCAATGAGGAAGAGGATTTTTCGCCATGCCGAGTATCTCGGGCCGATTCCTTTCTTGGGAAAGTGAGAAAAACCCGAATGAAACTCGCTGATGACCCTTTGTTTTGAAAGTGTATTATCATCAGGGTGAGCGGGGTCGGTCGAAGGCGGAGCAACAAGTAACGGCCGTCTGCGTCCCGATGACTCCGGCCCGACTTCCGCGGATAATTGAAATGAGTGCCGACCGACGATTTTATCGAGGGACGCGTTTTTTCGGGCTCAACGTACCTTGTTGTTATCCAATAAACACATTACGCCGTCTGGCTGCCTGCCATGACACACCATTTTTGTTGACAATTACGATTTCTGACCTGGGCCGCGGCACGCGCGATCGTCGACCGACGTCCGTCACACGACGCAAAATCGATTACTTTCTCCCTCCTTTTTCTCAAAATTTCAATTCAATAGATTTCCATTCTATATTCTACGGGAACGCGAGAAAAGTTAATTCAATTATTCAATAAATCACCACAGAGAGTTTCAATAAATGCTTAATAAAAGAGGGGCATATCACTAATTACGCCGAGGAATATCGGGTACTTTGGGGCAGTGTGAATGTAATGTATTAGCGTGAATGGAGGTGGATATCACTAATTAGCACAAGGTACATCGAGTACTTTGGAGTTTGGGGGTAGTGGGAATGAATTGTGACATTAATATAATTTAATAGTGTGAATGGAGGGGCATATCACTATTGAATGTAATTTATTAGCGTGAATGGAAGAGCATATCATTGATTACTCTAAGGAATATCGAGTATTCTAGGGTATTGGAAATGAATATCAGTATCAATATAATTTATTAGCGTGATTGGAGAGCATACCACCAATTAGCACAGATACATCGAGTACTTTGGGGGTAATGGGAATGAACTGTGACATCAATCTAATTTATTAGCGTGAATGGAAGAACAAATCACTGATCTGAGGAATGTTGAGTACTGTAGAGTAGTGGAAATGAATATCAGTATCAATGTAATTTATTAGCATGATTGGAGAGACATATCACTATTTATCCAAAGGAATATCAGGTACTCTCAGGGTAGTGGGAATGAATTGTGGCATCAATATAATTTATTAGTGTTAATGGAGGGGCATATCACTATTTATCCCAAAGAATATCGACTTATTGAGTACTCTCGGTGTAGTGGAAACGGAAAGGCATATCACTAATTAGCACAAGATACATCGAGTACTTTGGGGCAGTGTGAATGTAATTTATTAGCGTGAATGGAGGGGTATATCACTAATTCGCACAAGATACATAGAGTACTTTGGGGGTAGTGGGAATGAATCGTGACATCAATCTAATTTATTATCATGAATGGAAGAGCATATCACTGATTACTCTGTGAAATGTCGAGTACTCTAGGGTATTGGGAATGAATATCAGTATCAATGTAATTTAATATCGTGATTGGAGAGGCATATCACTATTTATCTGAAGGAATATCAGGTACTCTCGGTGTAGTGTGAATGGAGGAGCATATCACTAATTAGCACAAGATACATCGAGTACTTAGTGGATAGTGGGAATGAATTTGCTATCAATCTAATTTATTAGCATCAATGGAAGAGCATATCACTGATTACTCTGAGGATTATCGAGTACTCTAGGCCCTAGGGTATTGGAAATGAATAGCAGTATCAATGAATTGTGGCATCAATATAATTTATTAGCACGAATGAAAGAGCATATCATTGATTACCCTGAGGAATGTCGAGTACTCTCGGGGTAGTGTGAATGGAGGGGCATATCACTAATTAGCACAAGATACGAGTATTTATTAGCGTGATTGTAGGGGCTTATCACTAATTACGATGAATACTCTGGGGAAGTGTGAATGCTAATGGACTAACATGTTTTTATTTGTTTCTGATATTTGTAATTTCTGCTATTTTATGGAGAATACAGAGAGGCTAGCAGTAGGATAAACAAAAGACGGGTTGGAATTCAGCATAATACTGTTGGTTTGATTCACACCATTGCTCCCTGGCCCTTTTTTACAGGAAACCCCCCCCTAAGAATAATTATCGCCTACAATTATTCATGCTCCTTGGCTAATATGCAACATTCATAAGGCCATTAAAAAAATAAAAAATAAAGAAAGAAATAACAATAAAATAAGCATGTTGGGTTTGAATGTAGGACTGCTGGAATATTCGGAGATGATACCATTCATGTGATTAAGATGTAATTCACAAGAGACTATCTAGAAATGAACCTACACAATCTTTGAAAACTTCATAAAAATTGGCCTCATGGTTTCAGAGTTTTGCTGGTTACAAGGAATTGACCACACACAAATAGAACCAAATTTATTCAGAAAGGTCTGAAATGCAAAATGCGAGTGAAAATTTTGATATTGGAGGACAATTTTTTTTTCAACTTCCAGCATGAATACAAACAAGGCTTCCCTACCTTTAGTAGTTAGGAAGCAAAAATAGGGATAAATATGATGCAGCGAGTGGGATTAGCCGGCTCAATATCTCAAACCTCGATTGAAGGCTGAAAAACAATAACTCAAATTTTTTAATTTCCCCCTACATTCGAGTTATCGAGAGTCAATTGTATTTCTTTAAAACTTTTTTTTATAAGAATTATACAAGGTAATAAATAAAATAATATATCAATAAAATATAAAAACATATTTTTTAAATTACACACAATATTCTTGCAGCCATAACAGAAGGTACTTAGCATTACAAATTTATTATAATTTAATTTACTGATAAAATAATAATTATGAAAATTTATTTATTTACTGGAGGATAATTGGGCATAGGTTTTGCCTTATGTACCAATTCTTTTCTTAGTCTTGCTAACTCTTCTTTCTCACAGGCCTCCCTTTCCTTTTCAAACTAAAATAAATAAAAAACAGATCAGAATTAAAAACACTTTATACAAAAAAAATAGTAATATATGAAAACTGAAGAGGGTGGCATCAATGTGGTCCCTTTTATCATATTGCGTTAATTTCATAACTCATAAAATAAATATGTACCTCAATTTGCATTTTCATGAACCTCTCTTCTTTCTCTTTGAGGGTTTTCTCAAATTCTTGTCTTTCAACAGCCCTCTTTTCGGTGTTCAAGACAATATCGCATGGTTCGGTTAAAGGCTTGTCCAGCTTTTTTGGAAGAAATGGCTCTTTCTTCAATACAACTGGTTCTTTGGCTTTGAATTGGCAAAATTCTTCTTGTTCGCCCTTGAATTCATGTTATTCTGTAATGAAATATATATAATGAATAGATAAAACTTACTTGCGATTTTTTGTGTAAAGAACGTTCCCTTAAGTGATATGAATCTGAATCAGTTGGTACCTTTGTTGAATTGATTGATAATGTTGAAGACCGTGTGATAAAAGGGGGGACAGGGTTGGCGTGAAAAGTTGGTATAGTGCTCTCCTCTTGGATTATCTGCGGAGCAACAAATAAATCAATAAATACTTTAATCAATCCAATTTGGGGTAAATCGAAATCACCTTTCTTATTTTTTCCTCCTTTTCTAACTGTTTCAGTTTGTCTCGTTCCTCGAAGCTAAAAGGTTTCACTTTAGACTTTTGAGAAGTGACACTAGTAAATTGAGAAAAACTGTTCTGTTTACTATGCGTTCTGCTTGCATCCTACAGGACAATAATTTATTCAATGGAAAGAAATTTTAAAATTAAGAAATTTTATATTCCTTTTTTCTATCAAAGTTTATTTAAAATAATAAACTGCACGGTTATGCTTAAGGAAATAGGCATCTACTGTTTTCCACCATAATAATTTTTTTTCTTTCTGTTGAATTTAATCTCAAGCAAAAGAATGCTATTTCTCAGTTTTATATAAATGAAACTATTCTACATATTCAGGGTTTTTTTCTGTGTTAACACATTCGGCCCACCGTTCGCCAACCTGGTGAAACAAAGGTTCAGCCAGTCAGAAGGCTTTACGCCGATCAGCGTACTAACTACCTTACTTTTATTTGTACTAAGGTGGGGACTTGTATTGTTGGATTCTCTTTTACTTTGGGGTTTAGGTGCACTGGATTGCCAGCTTTTCAACCCTACAGTTCATTTAAAATTATTGTGTGTTTACTTACTATGGTTTTAAATTTTTTTTTTTAAATAAAAAAGTTCAAGTAAATATAGATATATATACTTTTATGTTAACAGTATATATTTTATTAGAACACCAAAAAGGTAAATAAGTTTTTTTTAATCCTTCAACAATCTTGAATTTTTGTAAAAACATCGTTCATCAAAAACGCTGCAAGATGGCAGAACCCAACCAGGTCCTGGGAGTGAAAATCCACCAAAATGGAAAGCAGCAAGATTAAACAATATTTTTATAATTTTTGAAGATTGATTTCCAATTCAACCGCAAGAGAGCAATTTTCGTTTGCTTGTTTACAGAAAAAAAACAAAAAAAAAAAAAAACAAACTCAATCAAATCAACCTAAATTAATTGCTTTTGGGAACATCACAAATATAACTTCTATGTTTCCAAAAGGAATTCAATATCGTTATGATTTTTAAATAAGTTTGTGTGTATTGTTATAGTACCTAATTTAACTGAAATACTTACGTGTCTTTTCACTTCAGTAACATCTAACTGTTCTTTACAATCATAAATAAAAAAACAATAGCTTTTTAAGAAAAGGTGGAAGGGTTAAAAAAAGAGGGAATATGAAGAGACCGACGCAGGCCAAAAAGTCACCTCTGAGCTGAACGTGTTCAATTGGAAGGACTTGTTATTAAGATTATTTGCACTTTGCACATTGTAAAAAAAATGAATGGATAATTTCCAAATGATTTGTAAAAATTTGTTTTGTCATCTCTTATTAGTGAACAATTCCCTTAAGAGCTTAAGCATAACTGTACTAAATGTTTAGGGAATGATTAATTTATACTTTAGGATCTAGATTATAGATGATTAGCTACAATGACAAAATATTACGATCTGTTTATATTCTCCCCCCACAAAAAAAATATTAAAAAAAAATTAAAAAAAAAAAAAAAATTTTATGTAATACCTTTTGTTTTGTCACTTCTTTCTTCTGCACTGAGCTGGTAAGCAAATGGGTCGTTTTAGGAGCTGGCTGTGCCTTAAACTGGAAACACTCAACCTTTTGTGGTTTCTTAAAAAAATAAAATAAAATAAAATAATAATAATAATACAAAAGAATAAATGTTATTTTCTTTCCTGTTGATTCTATTAAGTTTGTACAAACCTTGGGTTTAACTTGAGTTAATTGAAACTCCACTGGCACCGTACACGGTCTAGCAACTGGTTTACTCAATTCAGGTGGTTGAAATATTTTCCTGTTTAACGGCCTTGCCTTTATCGGATCTCTATATAAATTCAAAATTCGATTTATATAATGTAATAATCAATGGGAATTTAATGATACGAGGGTATTTTACCGTTTTATATCATTTGATTCTTTTGTTTCCATTTCTTCAGTGCTCGGAGACAGTGTTCTATGCTTAGTATTTAAATTGGGAGAAACGGCCACAGTCGGCGTTAACCTGTCTTGGCTAGATACTCTTGCTGGAAAGGTAAAACGTTCTTGACAAGTCCAATGTGCTGGTGGATGAACAATTTCAACTTACAGCTAGAAGGCTTATACTTAAATCGAGGAGGAATATCGTTTTCAAAATGATAAATTTTTTCCGCCAATGTTTGATATTTATTCTCCGACAACGATGATCCTTTCCTTTTGAGAGTTTCTCGGCGTACCACACGATTTCTCAAATCAATTGTAGGCTTTAAAGATGAATCACGTCTTGTAGACATGGAGTGCTCTTTTGCCGGAGTCAATTTGTTCAACGTCACTCCTTCAAAGGTGTGTAATTTTGCAATAGCACTTCTGAAAGATCAAAATTAACAGGTAATTAGTATAAAAAAAGGTTTTTGTTTAAAACAAAATGTAATATTTAGTATTAATATAAAAAACAAACACCAATACCTTAATGTTTCAGGTGAAGTGTGAGTATTTTTGCCAAGCCCCCAAGAGCGCCTTTTAGCTTTGATTATCACTCTACCCTGAATTGTTGGATTTTCAACTGCCGGAGTTTTATCATTTCCGTTGTTAGTTATATCGGATAAAATTTTTCCACTCTCAGCAGTCAGATTAACTTTGTGAGTAGGTAATATTTTAGGAGTGAAATATTGCTCATCTTGTTTCATGTTGGCATCAATATTAATTGAAGTATTTTCATCCTTATTCTCTAAAATAATAAAATTTGTTGATAATTTAGGAATAACAGTTCAAGAATATTGGTAAGAAAACATATAATTTCCAAATAAACCGAAGGACGAAAGGCTGGATAAAAGAGGTAGCATGCTAAATATTTTATGGAAAATAATTCATTTTTATGTACTGATGAATGGCAAATTGCAAAGGGATTCCCTCAAATTTTACATGATGTATTAGGGGGGGGGGTGGACGCAACAGTTTAAGCATTGTTGCGGCGCTCATCGTTGCAAAGGTCCTGGGTTTAATTGCAGCCCAGCATTAATTGGCTTTTCATCCCCCTCATAAAAAAATGGACATAGGCAGCTTATTTTGCAAATATTTGAATATTACTGAAATCAGAATGAATATTAATCAATAAATTCACTAATTTCGTGGTCTGCTTGACCAATTAAACATTACAATTAATTAAGGTTTTTAGTTGAGATGAAAAAAAGTTAATGACACGAGAGGGATTCGAACCCACGACCTTCGGCTAGATACGCCGCTGCTCTACCACCTGAGCTATCGTGACCTCGATCCACTCGGACATCAACTCCCCATCTCAACCCCACCTTATGATTTTTCCTTCCTTTTGCCATTTTTCAAATGTCGTGTAATCGGTTTGGATTCTCAATGACAATTGAAATGGATTGAAATGATTAAATTAATCAATAAAATATGTTTATTGGCATATGGTGTTATTAAAAAAAAGACCACAAATATACTTGAAAACACCTATGACCTCTGCTGTTGCAAACCTGCAAACCCTTGACATGAGTTGGCGTAACTGCAGTAAAGCTTCTAAGATATATGACCTAAAGATTTTATCCACAGTAACTTTGTAACTTCCCTGTTGAATTAACACTTAATTTTCCAAAATATAATAGTATGGACTAATTTGATTTGAAATAATTTGTTGCGATGGAAAAAGTTCTAAAATGTTTTATCCGTAAATTATTTGCATTACCTATTCTAACCCAAATTATATGATTTACTTATAAATGTTGCCATCCATCAACAATCCACATATGTGAGTTGTGTTGGCTTATATAACTTATTGCAATTCTCCATTAGAACTCTGCTTTTTGGATTAGAGGGAGGGTGGGATCCGTTTTGTTTGCAACTCCCAGTCAATTGAAACAGTTCTTCACTTACTAGCTGAGAACTCTCTAGAGTACAAATCATACTGTTGAATGATTCAGATTCTTGGGCTTTCATACAGTATGCTCACCACGCTTGGAACAGATTCAATTTACACCAGGAATTTAATTTTATAAAATCCTTTAATTTAAATAGTATATTCGTATAAAATAGCTAATGATCTTGAACACAAATCCCATTACTTTTCTGCGTATTTATTTACAATCTTTTTATGTTCTACAAATAATGCATGTATAACTAGAGTTGTATGTTAGATTTTGAATTTCAAATTATTTGTATCAATTTATAATGATCTCAGACGGATTTAATTCCATTCTCCTTTATAAATATGTGTTACTGACGTGAACAAAATTGTAAAAAATCAAGTATTGCTATTTATAACGTGGACCAGGGCTTGCTGGTATTATCTAAAAATCATAAATCACCGATTTTAGAAACACCACAAAGGCCTTGTGGATAAAACATGCAAGTTTCAACTTGAATGAGCATACGGATGATTGTTAGCACGTTCTAACATGTTTTTCTTCAACAATGGATTAAGCCAAACGTTTCATCAAAAACAAAATTGACAAACGCATAGAAATGATAAATGGTAGAGTGAATATGATATTTAATCTTTTTTTAAAAAGATAGTTCCTATTCATAGTTTGTTGTTTTCAATGATCCGGATTTCAAGCTCATCATCAGGTTGAAGGAACGTGGTTGTAAATTTTTTAAGCCTGAATTCCAGATTGTTGAAAACAACAAACTGTAAGTAAGAACTATCTTTTTAAAATGACAAACGCATTTTGTACAAACTGAACATTTTCACTGGGAAGTGTGTCGGTTATGCAACTTTGCCACCAAGTGGTTTTAAGAATGAAAGTTAATAAAATTTTAACTGATATAATTCCATTTATTTATTTATTTTTAAATAAATGGCCTACAGTCACTATGGGTCATTAGGCTGGAATTCCAAAATTCGTTCCACATCTGTATAGATTTATAATAATTGTGTAAATCTAAAATTAATAAAGACGGAGGGAGCGAGAAAGAAAGATGGAGGGAGGACAGAGAAAATAAATGAATGAGAGAGAAAGAGGGAGTGAAGAAGAAAGAGAGAGAGCAAGAGGAGAGGAGAGAGAGAAATTGGTGATTGAAATACAGTAACCCATCAACATTCATGAGGGTTATGTTCCAAAAAAACTGTGCGAATGTTGAATCTGCAAATGTTGAGTCTATATTCATGTGAAAAGAGGGGGGTTCAGTTCCATAATAGTAGATAGAGGTACAAAACACATGTGATTTATTTGTATGTGTGTAATGAATGAATTATTGTATTTATTTATTTATTTTTAAATAAATTAACATTTTCAAGTTTTGGAAAGGAAGGTATTACTTGGTATTTTCTTCTAGAATAATCAAGTCTCATCGGCATTAAAAGCCTACTGTGGGAGATATACTCCTTCTTCAAATATATTATTTTCTCCAGGATATCTTTTCGCTGATTCATGGTCAGCAGAATGCCGATATTAAGCGAATTTTTTTTTTTTAAATTTTTGAACCAACCTATGCTAGCCTGGAAATGAAAACAATGATGTAGAAACTTTGTTAATTTCATCAAATAACTTTGTAGCTTTGGCTCCTATCAGTGCAGAACTAATCGGAATACACTTCTGAGACATGTCCTCCAACCAAATGCTTAAAGCATTTTCTGTCTCTTAAAGAGATTTATTTCGAATTCGCGATTTTGGCACTGACAGAAACACTAGCCACAACGCTGCCCCCGATTAATTTATTCATTTTTTATTCTTTTTAATCAAATGCACTGTCGACTCGTTGATGTTGAAGAATCTCCTGACTTTCACCAATCTCGCAATTTATCTTAAACCTGAATTTTTCTGCAAGCGACATTACTGGTTTTTTTTTTCCATTTCGGTAAAGATGCCTTAGGCCTCTTTCAGACGAGGCGTTGATTCAATTAAGTTACCCATTTGACTCTCAACTAGCTCACTGCGAGGTGAACTCTTCTTTGCTGATTTCACAGGTAACTAATGGAATCAACTTTCCCAATGGGAGGTCAGTCGATGTGAGAACACGAAGCAGGAACACTTTTTGTGCTTGTTCTTCTGCAAAAAGAGAAGCAAAAAAGGAGGAAACTCAATAAAGAAAAGTATGGGTTTATATGTTGTTATAAAATTGGGAAATGGACGCTTTCTCTCAAATACTGTTGTGTTTCTTTTAATTCCCCCCATATCGCAGGACTAATACGAATATCTCCAATAAACAGCTCCACATTGAAACTTGCAATTGTAATGCATTCCATCGTGAACTCAGTCGACTCAACTAGGCAACTTGTGTGAAGGGCAAATGCCGAGCAGTGTCTTTTGTGTTGAGTCAACCAGTGGGGATGAGAACGTGAGCGGCACTTGTGCCTGCTGGCCACCCGCCTGGGCAGACGAATTGGCTGCATGTGAAGGGGTTGGGGCGATTCCCAAACATTTTGCTATCCCGTTACACTCCTTGACGACTGTCCGTTCAACTAGTTGAATCAACTAGCCGCCTTGTCTGAAAGGGGCCTTAGTGATGAATTTTTATTGCAGGAACAAGACAAAAAATATAAAATAAGTGATGAAAACTTTAAAAAAGTCTAAAACACTGAAACATGGTGGGGTTGTTGATTTTTTAGAAAATAACCATTCTACTTACAGATCCAATTAGGGATTTCTGTGAATGTTTACACATCTTTTTAACGAATAATCAAATCCGTAAGTCGTGAATGTGAAATTTTTCCGCATTTTTACTCTCGCGAATATTGAATCTGCGAACATTGAGGGATTACTGTATAGAAATGTTGACAAAGCGATAGAACAGAGAGATAATGAGTGTGTGCGTGTGTGTGTGTGTGTGTGTGTGTGAGAGAGAGAGAGAGAGAGAGAGAGAGAGAGAGAGAGAGAGAGAGAGAGAGAGATGGTGAGAAAAAATAAATATTATACTTTGGACAAAATGAATAAATCCGTTACATCAACAGGTGTAAAGAGTGGTGGAATATCGATACCCTGTGTGAATGGTGTATAAATAAGAAAAAATGCATTTCAGACTGCATGAATGTGAATGATTTTCGATTTAGGAACTGCATGTTTGGGTACTGAAATGACCTAGCTGTTGACAACACCCGGAGCCCAACCTCGGATGGCCTCTGAACTCCTGAGATGTGAGAGTGTGAGAAGGTCGACTCTGCAAACTTGTCCGAGTATGCAGGTGGTATAGCTGAACTTATACAAATCAGTTATCAGTAAAAATCGTTTGTCACGTCTCATGAATTCATCAAGGGTGAATTGTATTTACCGAAAAAGTCATCCGAACCATCGTTCATCATTTTCTCGGCCACTAAGTCCAGCCGTTCAACAAACTGCGGCGCACTGTACTCGAACTCCATTTTCTCCACTCGTAAGTGTCTCCGGCTATAAAAATCGACTAAGCTAAAATAAAGGAACGACGGCCCCTCTTTCTCACTATTTATGGATCACAGAACGAAGCTCGGGATGAACGAAATGTTAAAAACAGTACTACTTTCTTCCTCGAGGCAAGTCCAACGGAAAATCTTTCCAAAATTCAAACGAAGAATAAAACTCGATTTCAACAGTCCACAGCCTTTACGATTATAAATACTCTTTATTACTAAACCACCAAAACGTATTATTTAAAAAAAATCACGGACCGCTTTTATTTAAAATATAAAAAAATGAAATTTACTTTAAATCAAGCAAAAACAAACTAAAAGTTTTTATTTTACTTTGTCCATAATTGATTCAACAGATGGTTTTTTTGTGTGGATAACTTGATAGAGCAAACTTAAAAACAGTCGGCCATATTTTTGGGCCCTTTCTGCTCTTATCACTCTTGTAAATATTTATATTTTTAAAAAATGGCTTTTACAGAAGCTCTGAAGCCGAAAGCCGGTTCGAAACACCTTTCAACTATCATCAATGCTGAAGGAAAAGCTGTTTTGGTATGAATCCACAGGGCAACTGTCCAATTGATCAGTTTTTATCTTTTGTGTGCGCAAAATAAAAAACTTTCTTATCACAAATAGTTTCTTACATATTGCACCCTTCAATGTGTTGACATTGAAAAAGTACGATTTAGTGTTTGGGCACGAATCCTTTCCTAAACTCCAGGCTTACGTTTTTCCGCACACGTTTTTTTATCATAAGTATAGTCCAGACATTAAACAATGTTTCTACAATATTAAACATGATTTCTCAACAGTTTTGGAATGAACTGTGTGAAATTCTTTCGCATTCATGACTCATCAATTGTAATTGGTCCTTGCGTGACTGTGCACAACAGCAACATATTTTCCTTTCATAAATGGTGGTTAAGGGTAATCAACTCAATCACAGCCTAAAACTTCGTTGTCCACAATCTTAAATATAGTCTAAATATTAAACAATGCTTCTTTACAATAGTATAACATAATTTCTCTACAGTTTTGGAATGAATTGTATGAAATTGTTTCACGTTCATGACTCAATCAGTTGGCACTGGTCCTCCGCATGACTGTGTACAACAGTAACATATTTTCCTTTCATAAATGGTGCCTAAGGGCAATTCAGAATAGTCGACTCAATCACAGCCTAAAACTTTGTCGTCTACAATTTATTGAATGAGCTGTATCTTTTTCTAAACTCCAGGCCTCCATGTTTTTCTGCGCACATTTTGACATCTTAAGTATAGTCCAGGCATTAAAAAAAATTTTCTGAACAACATTAAACATGATTTCTCAGCAGTTTTGGGACGAATTGTATAAAAGGGTTTCACGTTCATGACTCAATCAGTTGCACTGGTCCTCCGCATGACTGTGCACAACAGTAACATATTTTCCTTTCATAAATGGTGCCTAAGGGCGATTCACAATAGTCAATCACAACCTAAAACTTTGTCGTCTACAATTTATTGAATAAGCCGTATCTTTCTCTAAACTCCAGGCCTCCATGTTTTTCTCTGGATGTTTTGATATCATTCACGTTCATGACTTAACCAGTTGACATTATGCCTCGCGTTACTGTGTACAACAGTAATATATTTTCCTTTCATAAATGGTGCCTAAACATCAAATAATGTTCAAAGAGGTCTGTTAGGTATTGTACTGAACTTACAAACCTGCGATTCACAATAGTCAATCACTGCCTAACACTTTGTCCTCTAGAATTTATTGAATAAGCCGAATGTTTTCTAAACTCCAAGACTCCATGTTTTTCATGTTGCAATTTGCATACCCTCGAATTTGTTTTTCATTTCTTGGCAGAGAGTTCAAATTCTAGGTGAAATCCGCTTGCTTCAATTTGTCAAGGGGTGAACTTCTAGGTTGTTTGGAGGGTTCAAGATCCAGGCCTCTGATTGGGTTTGTGATGCAGGCTTGGAACTACAGATACAAGCTTACAGAAAATTTAATTTTTCATTTAATTACTGAAGTAATATATATTTTTTAAATCATTTTTCTCTTTTTTTTAAATACCTCTAGAATTTTAATTGGTTTTATTTATTTTTTTTTAATATTTTTTTTTTACCCAGTGACTTATGGCAGATGGAATTTTTTGATCCATTGTTTATTTACTGTTAAATTTTTCTTCTCTCTATTGTGTTTTGGTTCATAAATATAACAGTTTTCATTCATTCCTTTGGTAAATGGTGTAAGGGATCAAATTATGTTCAAAGCGGTCTGTTAAGTATTGTACTGAATTTACAGACCTGTGATTTAGAATAGTCAACTCAATCACAGGCTAAAACGTCGTCCTCTACAATTTATTGAATGAGCCGAATCTTTTTCTAAACTCAAGGCCTCCATGTTTTTCCACACACTTTTCATATCTTAGTATAATCCAGACATTAAACAATATTTCTGAACAAAATTATACATGATTTCTCAACAGTTTTGGAATGAACTGTATGAAATTGATTATTTAGAGACTGAGATGCAGTAAAAAATATTTTCTTTATTGTGCCAACGTTTCAATCTTTATAGAGATCATCTTCAGGACCTGGGAAGATGATCTCAAAAAAGATCAAAACTAATCCATATTTTAGTGGCCAAAATTGACCATATTAATTATTCCAATTAATTATTATTTTCATCTCAACCTGAAATTAAAATCCACATGAGGGTAAAATAAAATACAAGAAAATAGCTAAGACCAAGATGAACAGGAATTATCAAGCAGCAGAGAAAAATTCAACCTTTAATGAATCACCTAAAATATTATTATTATACGACCTCTTAATAATTCAATATTTCAGGCTGAAAGTCGCGAAGATGAAATTCAAAAAATCAAATACCAGGAGATAATAAAACTGCTCATCGGTGCCGGTTATTTCCGTGCAAAAATTAAAGGGCTGAGTGAGTTTGACAAAGTTGTCGGAGGGATGACCTGGTGCATTGATGTATGTACGATAGACTTGGACGTTGATCTCCTCTTCCAGGAGAATTCAACCATCGGTCAAAAAATGTAAAATGTTAACTAAGAGATTAAAATGAATGAATAATTTAACCTCTTTTTTTTCCAGCGCTTTAACCGAGAAAATAGTAGCTGTTTTACCAAAAATGAAATGCCCTTATACAATAGAACCTCATCAGATCCAGGGTTTAGACTTTATACACATCCATCCTGTTATAGAAGTACGTTTCGTTTTTGGTACCTTTGTAAGCTTTGTCATTCTAAACGATATCCTTGGTTTCAGTGGTTGGTGAAAAAATCACTGGAAAACAGGGAAGAAAGAGGCGACTATATTAGACAGTACGCAGTTCATCAATTCAACATGCAGTACTGTTTCCCGAATGAAAGGCCAAATGAAAATTTCATTTTGAGAGCGTTACCAAACATATTTACTGTTCAGGTATAAATATAGTACTTTAATTATGCTAATACTCGGACAAGTAATGGTGAACACTTACTTATACTTAGTAACATGATTAATAATTACTGCTATAGGCTCTAAGTTTTATTGATTTTATATAATTATAAAGCCATTTTAGTGAGAAAAAAATCATAAATATCATAATTATTTAAGGACATTTTTGGCTGCTTTAGAGTGTCTGACTTGTATTTGCCAATTGCTAGTGGTCCTGGGTTCAAATCCCAGCATGGCTTACGGAATTTTTAATTCTGAATAGTGTGGGAAAAAAATCGTAAAGTTGATTGACCTCTTGCCTGTGGCATTCAATGGGCAAAAAGAGGACTTTAAGTCCTAGGAACTAATTTTTACACATATTTTGAATTTCTTTCAAAAGTGTGATTAAATTGTCTGAAAATAATTACAGTAATAAAACCTTCTATAGCTAATTAGATCACTGTCATAATAAAAAAAAATTGATTTACTTATTTTGTTAAAGAATAAATATCGACCACATAGGAAATTCAGGAGGGTTGAAAATCAGCCAACTGACACGTTTTCACGAATCCAGAGCACATTATTCGAATACGGCCATACTCCGATACAAGTAATAATGATTTTAAAATTATTATTGTTTTATGATATCTAAACAACAATGACGTTTTGTTTAGGAAAATCAAAGTGAGGGTGAGGAAAACCAGGCTGATAGAGAATTGGAAAAGATCGACGAGGTGAGACTTTTTTGTGACGTACACTTTTCAAATAAAACTGTAATAGTACACACACTGTAGTAACCAATATCATCGATTTTTTGGAAAATAAAAGATAATCAATGGTATCAAATAGTCACATTTTTTCCAGGTTTTGCACAGAATTTAAAAATGCTTTACAATCTGTACATATTTCTTCTTATAGTTGCTTTTCTTTTGGCTTTGTCTGTCCTATTTGTCAAATTGTGTTTTTTTATATTTTTTATTTTAGGCTAAGTTACAACAGCTTACCAAGAGCATGAAAGCCACAAGTAGTGATGTGAGTGAAAAGCATTTTTTTCAGTCTGATTTCTGTTTTGCTTGATTTTTGTTCTTTCAATTACTCCGTAATTAATAAAAATTGTAGGCGCCTATTGCTCCAAAAACAATTTCCTCCATAATAAACATGAAGGCTTCTGAGATCAAAGATGCCGCAGCGATGTATTCTAATCTTGTGACAGAATCCGAGGTAAATACAATGTTTTTTTAATCAAAGGCAACTTTGATTCAGACTGAAATTTTAGCTGGATGAAAAGAACGAATTGGCCAAACTTAAAAACAAAGAAAAAGCACTTTTGGAACAGGTCTCAGCTTTAAATATGCAACTGAAAACGGCTAATAACAAACTGAAAGTGCTAAAAGAAAAAACAAACTTTAGAGAGCAAACTGACAACCAACTGACTGAAGAAGAGAAACGGTGATCACCAATCTTTTAATAAAAGTGTAGTACTTATTATCTGAAGAAAAAAATGGGAAATATTTTCAATAATTTTTAATTTGGTCTTTACTGCTTATTTTGGTTTGCTTATCCTTGCTCATTTGGCCTCTAGCCATTTCAACATCTGGGTGATTTTTCTTCTCGCCAAAACAATTACAAAACAAAAATAACTAATGAACTTAGTAACAAAAATGGATGAAACGTCAGACTAAATCATCAAGGATTAGCAGACCAAAATAATCATTCACAGCGTAATTCACCATGCAAAGATTGACCTCCAAGTCAATTACATAAAGATAAGATCATACAAAATCAACTATAACTTGGTAATTTCTGATCATTTTAGCCTGCCTATCTTCTCTTTCATGACGAAAATGATCAGGAATGATGAAGCTGCTGATTCTGTTGTTCATCACATTACAACCCTTAAGAGGAAATTTCACAACAAAATCTTCCTAATTTGCCAGCTGGAATTTTAATAAAATTTTTATATGAGAGTTTATCTAAATGACTGTTAGCATCTCAACCATGCCTTGTTCAATATTTTTTAACATTAAAGATAAAGTGTCTACATAAGTACACAGTTACACTTTTCCATTTTTTTTTCTTTTGTCTAATACGATCAATAATAGGGACTACACTATAATTATAAATCATTGAATGTCTATTCAACATACTAATATTTACATTATATGGAATTTTAGAATTGTTAAAGAATTGGAGATTCGTATCCTGCTCAATAATTCATTGTTAGAGCAGGAAAATCAGTTTAAAGAATACTGTAAATCGGATAGGCAGAGACTGCAAGAACTTATCAGGTGAATGAATGCTCAGATTTAACAATTTGTACTGTTTCTCATTTATCTCTGTGCTATAGAGGTATAGAAGAGGATAACAGCGTCGATAACGAGACAGGCGCAAGTCTGTCCCAATTGAACAGGCAAGTAGCAGAAGCTAGAATTTCATTGGCAAAAATATCTCGTTCTGAAGCCGGACTACATCGTTTAATCGATGAAGTTCCTTCTAGAGCTGAGCTGACTCAGTATCAAGGGAGATTTTTAGAATTGTACAATCAAGGTAGAATGAACTACCTAGGAATTTAATTATTACATGTAAGTTGTACTTAAAATGTTTTCTTCAGTTTCAGCGAAACATAGAGAGACTAAACAGTTTTACACATTGTACAATGCGATGCGAGACGAACATGAGTATTTGACAAAAGAACTTTCCCTGCTGAAATCGATCGCAAATGGTTTTGTTTCGTAAGTATTTTTTAAGTTTCCATTGTTGAAAGTCTGATGTGTTTTTTTTTTTTTTTTTTTTTCAGTTCTGTCAACTCCATCCATGTCAAAGAAGAATTTATCAAACAATTTGAGGCTATAGTAGATGGTGTAAAACACAATAAACTGAAGGTATTTGACAAGTTTTACATAATGTTATTTATTAGTTAATTTTTGTATTTTATTAGGTCGAACAAAAGAGAAACGAAGAAAGAGATATGCGAGATAAACTAAGGTTACATTTGTCCGGCCTTGTGGATCAACATCGCCTATATGTATCCCTGTTGAAACAGTTCACACTCGAATGTGAAGAAAATCAAAAGTTAATAGCTCAAGTCAAAGTCCAGTCTTGAGTACTCTTAACTAAAGTATTTACAGCCTTGGCATTTTTTTCTCATTCAAATCGAATATGTAGAAATAAAATGTGAGTTATGTTTTTATTATAAAGTGAATTATGATCTGAGAGAAATAATAACGGACAAAAGTTATTATTCTTACTTTGTTTTTTATTTCTTTATGAGGTTATATGCTCGGGGAGCCGGTGGTTAAAAAAAAGCCTCTTTGTAAGTAGGTTGGGTTTGAATGCAGGACTGCTAGGTTTAAACCCAAAACCTTTACTTTACAGTGATAAGCACTGTGTCAATGCCTAAACCGTTCTGGCTACCTTAATGCTTACTTCATAAACTTAAGGCTTTTAATTTTCAAATAAATATTTTTATACAGATCAAACTGGTGCTATTAAAATCGTGATCATTAAATTAAACAAATTAAGTATGATCTAGTTTTCCAAAGTAAATTTACTGACAAAAAACAGTTGCCAAAAACCAGCCACTTTGATTTTCTAAATTAAATCTTCATTGCTGCTAAAAACGCCATCTTGATTTTATAAAATTGTTTGCTTAATGTAATTTCGAAGTTAAACAATGAGATTTTTGTTGTAATGGACCTCGGATATTAAAATGTATGGAAAATGGGGAAATTTAAGGGGGAAAAATGCAAATAAAATTTATTTCATTAACAAAAAAAGACATTTTTAATAAGAGGTGTTACCACTGTGGGCTTTAGTTACTGCATGCTCTGATTCGAACTGGTTCTGCGAAATGTTGGCTGAAGATCAAAGAACAAAAAAGCAGCGAAGCAGACTAAGCGACCCCGCAACACAATCTTTGCTGGCAATCAAGGACTACCACCAGTCCAAGGACAACTGGGATCCTATCTGGATTTGGTTATTTTCCTATGGAGGTACTAAAGGAAGAATGCCTATTGAGACTAAAGCAAATCAAAACTAAGGTGGGATTGCCCCCGGCCGACGTAGACACACCAAGCACTGATGTGACACATATACAGGAAGAGATGAGCACGGACCCGCTCAGTTTAATGCTGATGAAATGTGTGTTGGCCAAGACTGCCGCTAAAACCAAAGAATCCTGTAAGAACCTCAACCAGTGCCTGGGGGAAAGAAGTTTTCATATTCATTTCAAGGCTGAGTGCAACCCCAGAAGCACCAGTGGCAGTGCATCGACCCAGTCTGTTGATTTTTGAGCATAGCATTGAAGAGCCGTCTTTAACCTGCAATGCCATCTCTCATCCATGCCGTTGGACTGTAGGTGGTAGGCTGTTAACCCAAAAAAGCTGATGAATAGGTCACTTTCGAACTAGCAGCCTTGATCTGTTTTAATTGAATGTGGGACACCAAAACAGGTTATCCATCCAGACAGAATTGTAAGGGTAGCCGTATGGACTTGTCTGTTACTGGATACGCCTCTGGCCATCTGGCGAAGCTGTCAACTACTGTTAACAGGTATCTGTTGCTCTGCCACAAAGACAGTAGTCCAACAAAGTCTATGTGGATGTGGCTTAACCTCTAATTTGGTACAGCAAAGAGTGAGAAAGGGGTGCCTTTCTGAGTCTTGAGGTTTTTGATACATTCCTGGATCCAGTTTCGGATGTTTTTACGCAGTTTTGAAAAATCTGCCCTTGATTAACTTCTTGGAGGCTTGGATGCCTGAGTATGACAACAAATGCAGTAAGTTGAAAACTTCACATCTCATATTGGCCGGGATGTAGGGCCTTTAGCGCTGAGGTTGAAGGGAACTTGCAGTAAATATGGTATTCCAAGCCTGGCTGGGTAATCTGCCATAACTCTAAAGTAGGATTTGACAGGCTTGTGTGGAGATCCTCATCCTCTTGTTCAGGTGCCAATTTGTTGTAGTCAATTCCCATTGGGAAGTTGATTTCGTCGATTCTTGAAAAGGTGTCTGCAATCAGGTTCTGTTCTGCAGAAATATGTCTAATGTTGGTTGAGAACTCTGAGATAAGATACCAGATGTCTCGCTTGCTGTGGTGATCAGTGTGGATCGAGAATTGTTGGCCCTCGAGGATCTGACGACAATGTGAGATAGCAGCACAGATCGTGTATAACTCGCAGTCATATGCACTGTAACATGTCTGGGCCAGTGATAACTTCCTGGAGAAAAATCCGAGTGGTTCCAGGTGGCCTTTTATCAGTTGTTGGAGGACTGCTCCAATCGCCACATCAGAAGCGTCAGGGTATAAAAACAAAGGAGCATCTGGGTGTGCCAGACATATTTCTGCCAGGATTAGCTTCAGTTGGGAAAAAGCTTTTGACATCTCAGGAGTCCATCATATTTCCGCATTGCTCTTCAGTCCATGACCAGAAATGACCATCAGCAGAGGGATTTGGATAGTGGCAGCATTCTTGATAAATCTGTGGTAGAAGTTTACCATTCCCAGAAACCGTTGTAATCCTCTGACTATTGTTGGCTGTGGGAACTCCTGAAGGGCTGCTATTTTGCCTGGAAGAAGCTGCAATCCCTGAGGTGTGACCTGGAAAACCAAGAAGTCAACCGTGGATTGTCCAAAGACGCATTTGGCGGGGTTGATGGCTATGCCTGTGACACTCAGTCGTCGGAAGATTGTGCTTAGATGTTTCTCGTGCTCATCATAAGTTGAGCTGGCAACCAGGATGTTGTCTAAGTATTTGAAACTAAACTCAAGTGTAAAATATTGTCCAGAAAGCGCTGGAAAGTTTAGGCTGCATTTCATAATCTGAACGTCATGTAGGAAAATTCGAAACATCCAAAGGGTATTGTTATAGCCATCTTTGGAATGTCCTCATTAACAGGGATCTGTTGATAAATAAATATACGGCCACGAGAAGTCCCAATGTAAGCCTAGGTTTAGGTGCATTAACTGTTGACCGTAAGTTTTAATTGGAGTTCCGTTACCATCACGAGTGTAAATTTGTGAGCACCCAGACATACGTCCCTAAGGGCACTCGACTCGGGCCACCTCTTCATTCAATTTTGCTGTTTGTCAGCAGCGGCGGTTCTACTTTGTTCGTCCGTCGAAAGAGAATTCATTTAATAAACGAATAGGGCCGCTGTCGGATCCAGTCCTGCAGCAAATTGCTTTTTGATTATTTGAATTGATTATAATATGAACAAAAAAAGTATTGTAAAGTTTGTATGCACCACCCAACTGGTACTTGAACTTTAAGCCCGCCTATGACAAATACTTTACTATAAACAATAAATTTATCAGCTAGTTGATTGATTATTTCTTTTATTCTGTAATTGCATGGTCTGCCTTAACGGCGCACCAGGCCAACATTTCTGCAACACTCAAAAGTCTTGCGGGTTCAAGAGCGTTCCATTGTAAATATGAAAAAACACATTTTTAAATAGACTTTTCAGCTCCTAAAACAGGAAGATGTATACCATTTAAAATAGTAATAGTAAAATTATATCAAAAACAATTTTTTGACAAACCAGGTACCTTTGGATCAGCAGTTTCCCATAGGACTTGCACATGCTAAAACGGAGATTCACAAAGACCCCTAAATCGGAAAATCATCTATTGACATTGTGCAAAAAACTAATACCCACAACAAATTAAATAAAAATAAATTAAATATAAAATTATTAAATAAATAAAAATAAATTAAACATAAAATTATTAAATAAATAAAAATAAATTAAATATAAAATTATTAAATAAATAAAAATAAATTAAATAATAAAATAATGTGCTATGTGACTGTAATCACTAATATTTACTTGTCAATAAATATTCATACATATAGCCCACTTCCTGATTTTTTGAACTGGATTTGCTGCCATTAAACCAATTGGCAAATTATTATAATAAACAAATTTACAGATTTTTAAATTTGCTTTTATTTTATATTTAAACACTTTATTCTTTACTACTAGTAGTTCTTAAAAACGATGAAGATAATTTGCTTCAGAACATAAATATCTTTAAAATACCAAAAGGATTTTTGATTTGGATTTATGTAGATGTGAAGCTAAAACCAGTTTACTGGTAAGAAATGAGAAACTTAGAAATCTTTGAGCCTGGCCACCCCTCAGTCTAGCTTTCTCACTTTGAAGAAATTGTCACTAGCTTAAGCAACCAACAATTTTAAATGTGATAGGTCTCAGATAAGAAGTCAGTTGGCTTTAGGCGGGTAACAAATACAAGTTTTTGCTTTGTATATCGCTTTTTGAGAGCTACCACTTTGCAACAAAGGCGAGAAAAGTCGAGTTGTTTTTATGGGGCATCGGTTGCAGCAGTGATTTAGGGATAGACACGGTGCTCATCACTGTAAAATAAAGGTCCCGGATTCGAACCAGACATACTTACAAATGGGCTTATTTCCCCAAAAAACACCAACACTCCAAGAGTTCATATAACCTTGTAGTTATAAATACCCTTGTTAAAATAGAAAAAAAACTGGTTTCATCACAGGGGAAAAGAGCAAAGTATTTTTTATTCATTACAATTTCCTTATCAAAAATCAATACTTAATAATTAAAGATTTGTCAACTCTACCTGCAGCCATTCAAACTACAGATTAAAGTCACCAGTGATAGTTTATTGCATTGAGAATGTGAGAGAGCTGTGAAAAAAGCAGATCCCGTTTTCAATTTATGTTAAATACTCAATATTACACTATTAAAATATTATTTTTCCTTTGCTAAAAGTCTAATTTTATATATTTGTGAAAATTATTCTTAACAGAATGACCAAAAATTTTTTTCCACAAAATATACTGTCAGATTGTGATACATATTTAAAATGTATAAAATGATATTTAACCAATTTAAAATGTATAAATAAATATTTAAATGTATAAACAGTCTAGCTTTAATAATTTATTGTATGAATTCTGTGTAGTTTGTATTATATATTTGCATTATTTTTATAAATGATTTGCAAAGCATATGAATTTAAAAAAAAAATCTTTATTTAAAACAAAACATCAATTTTTCTATTCTTAATTTAGTTTCCAATTATTCTGGTCTATTTGTCTTTACTGTTCAGTGTCTGCCATGTCTACAATTAAAAACTAATTAAAAGGTTTTGTGAAAATATTTATTTAGAAATCGTGAAAATGTTTATTTTGTGGTTTCTTGAGGACTTTGGGTTGAAAATCTGTAGTTTGGTCGTTTTCGATCATGTTGGTCTGCCT